TGCCTTACATAGTTATCTACAAGTTTATTATAAGGTAATTAATTGCCACCTTAAAACCAAGCCGCAGCCGACTGATAACTCGTCAACTATTATTTATCACATGGATTTAAAATAAAATGATAAAAGGAACATTTCACAAAATTGTTTAATGAGCGATAAGAATCAAGGAACAAATGTTCATGGTGGGAGTTAGTGTCTACTTTGTTACAATTAAAAAAAAATATTTTTATATCATTTTAAGTTTATCGTTCGGTAAATTTTTACGTTATGTCACGCAATCCAGTCGCACTGATTAAATATTGTTCCGTGAGGATAATTTTACCTCTAACATCAGAATAATTAAACTTTTTACCACTGAAAGTATCTACGAAATCTCAACCACTTATTTATCACGTGGTAAACAAATAAAAATTCAAAATTGGAAAAAAATTTTTTTTAAAGTTCCTTTTATAATTAAATTGTGTTTATTAGATACGATTATTTATAATTGAATTTTTTATTAAATATTTGGACGATAAAGAAAATAATTTCATACAAATAATAATTTTGCTGTTTAACTGTAAACACTGAACCGACTTATACAATTTTATAATTCGATCTTTCAGATGGTTCATTAAACTCATGGCATGCTGGTTAGTCGGTCGCAGGCCCTCGGAGGGGATCCGAAAAGTCCCGATGGTATCCGACGTTTGGATTTCAAATCCAACCCTGAAGCATATGGAATATGACTATTTCTATACAGTACTCTTTATGACTCAACTAGAAATACTTTCTGTAGACTTATATGATCTCCAGCAGCAAATTGAATCATCGAATATCATTTTCATAATCACAATTGTTTCCAATAACAATACTTTATCTGAAATAATGAAAATGTGAATTGCAAGAGAGGAAGTTAAAAAAAAAAAATACTTAAGTTTTACAGATGAAAACAACGAGGCCAAATATATCTGCTGGCAAATATTTTTTTTTGTTTAATCACGTTGTTCTTTTTTACGACAAATTTAATTTACTTAATCTGGGCAGTGTTTGTTTTGTCATGAATATCTGTAAAATAAAATAAAACATTGAATACATAGATAATAATAAGATTTATTAGTGTCTATATTTATTTAAGTAAATGTAAGTTACGAACTTGAACTTTAGAGTGAAAGGATAAATTGTGGTGCAATAAATTGCTCGCGAAGTTCGTGATTCTGTTTGGCAATATTTTGCAGCGCCTTTATCATTGATGTCCCAGTTTCTTGGATCAGTTTTTAAAATTTTTCATTCTCATTTTGAAGCAAAATATATGAATGATCAAATTTCTAAAAAAGGAAACAGAAAGAATCAAATTTATCGTGAATAAATAGTAATCATTGGAAAAAGAATAACTGACACAGTTAAGCTAACGTCCATATTTAATATCTTATCACTATCCATAACAATTAATACTGAGTCGATAACCTACTGTAAGTACTGTGCAATTCAAAATTTGCGTCGAATAACCTTTTGGATAAATTCATCTGTCCGTGGATCAATATTGACTGCCGTCTATCGAGTACAAAAATTTCATTATTTCTCACAATAGCACGAGCAAGACATACCAATTGCTGTTGCCCTACACTTAAATTAAAGCCTCCTTTATTAACATGACTTTCTAGACTCATTTTATTTAACTCGACATCATTTTTCACCACAGAAATCATGGAGTCCAATTTTACCGGTATCTATACCATCGATCTCAATGTTTCCCTCAATGTCAGCAAGACGCGGAATAAAGCTGATATCAGGGAAGATTTTCCAGCTCCAGTGCGTCCGACAATTCCTATCTTTTCTGGTGGCTCAGGCTCAATAGTAAAGTTGAGATTATTGAGTACGGGTAGTTCTAGCGGTGAATAAGACAAGTAAAATTTTTTGAATTCAACTTTACCTCTTGTGGGCCAGTCATCTTTAGGTTTCTATCGGGCAAACTCTCAAAAGCAGGCTCGCATTCAGTATTCGTCTACTCAAGCACTCGCTCATCTGAAGTCTGATTCTCTACCTCAGCAGCTTGTTTCACTTCCCGCTGGAACACTCCAGTTAAGGGGGGAGCCTGCTTTAGAGGCTTCAAAAAATCGATTTTTTTTTGCATAAATGTTTTTGCCAAAACATCCTAGAATGTGTCCCTAAAATTTTAGAAGCAAATTCAAAATATTTTCGGAGTTACAGGAGAAATAGTGAGCTAGACTGGACACAGTTTTGAATAAACTCGTTTCGAGAAAAACGCGTTTAAAAAAAAAGTGACAGAAAAAGTTAATGTAAAATAGTATTAAAGTAATTACTAAATCGCTTATAACTTATGAAAAAATAGGAATTTTTACTTTAAATTTTCAATCTATATTTTTGAATAATTTTACAAGCGATTAAAAAAAAAAATTTTTTTTAAGCCTGTACACGTATTTTCCCCCTTAATCTGATACTCTATGTAATTGTCAAGCCTACATCACCGCCCTTGTAGACATAATTCTTATCAGAAAATAATAAAACAAGCCGTTACACATAGACTAAAAAATGTGAAAGATCTCACGAGGGTAACACTATTGTTAAGACAGTCCAACGTTAAGACTTGAGCAACAACAGCTGTAAACTGACCAGGTTTAATATCTAAATTAATTTCTTTAAATGTTTTTTTTTATTATCTAAATCTAACCACTTCTCGTAATTATTATCAAACGTTATCGTTTCAAGGTCAGTATGAATCTTCAAATTATCTATTTTGCCAGCCTTTAGACGATTTCTCTTGTGATTTAATCTAAACTTTTTTTTTTCTTTTCAGTCGGTTAAATTTCATCATTCATTAAAAAAATTTCAAGTCTATTCAGTGACACTATTACTCCAACCAATCATGTAATATCTTGTGAAGCATATTTATAGTTATAATTAATTATAACATCCAATAGTACGCCACTACGACAAACTTTACTTCGGCTATCAGTTGTTTATCCGACAATCCGTAAACTAGTAAAATAATAATAATAATAATAATAAGCAATGGTAACCGTGATAAAACCAATAATAATGACATCGTGATAGCTGGTAGAAAAGACACTTATCATAGAATACTTTTTTTTTTTCACGAATATTTCCCATGACGCCACTAAATAGTTGTTCCCACGCTTTTACTTTTATCGCTTGAATCCCACCATTCATGTCGTTTGTTTGATGTAATTGTTTACATGTATGCCTTGCCGTACGTACTTGTAATGTCGATAACTTCTTCCCAAGCTATCCTTGGAGAAATATGAAGAACAAAACATCAAATAGATACAAATTAAGGCAGCTACTCCAAGAAGTTGATCTCGGTACATCATATAAGTAACAAATATTGTAACAATACGACTTATCTAAAGGTTAAGAAGAAATAAAAAAGAATTATCAAATCTGTTGACATCTATCAATAGCAAATAATTGACTGCGCTGGGCCTAACTGTTGTCTTTTCTAAAGCAGATATTGATAACTTCAATAATTTCTAGTAGATCAGTGAACAACAAGCTATGCGTATTTTCATGCCTATGTGAAAAACTACCAACATATAAGGATAGACAATAAATATGTAGCTCGCCGAACAAAATATGACGCCGCCAGTAGCGTACAGAAATGCTTCTGATTTACTTATTTCTGACTTTGTGAAGTAACGAATGAGGTATGCTAAAGCTACCGGCTGGACCGTTTTACAAAAACACTTTTGAAAGTTTATTAATTAGTATAAAGCGACAGTTAATTTTATAAGATGTATATAATTATATATTAAAATTTCTTACCGAATTCCAAGTTCCATTATCATATTAGGAATTGCATAGAGAGCGATCTGACCGGCAAATACTTTAAATAATGCTCGTCTTAAACTAGGAACTTTTTTAGAATTAGTTTTTTCATAATTTTGAATCTCTTTATCCCACGCTTCTGCTAATTTATCTCCCAATAAACTGATTTTATGTTCGTTCAACGGCCTGAAAAGATCTTCGACTTCTAAATCCCACTTGTATCCTTTCCAGAAAATTTTCAGGACCTACCTTCATTTGAAGTAAGATATATTTTTATACTCTAATATTTAAAGTCGAGCTTCTTTAATCGATTAATACTTATGCAAACGTTAAAGTACTCGAAAGACTGATTCCTTCTCGGGGATTTTTTTTCCTTTTGATGTTAACTTCCGAATCGATATTTCAACTTTTTAAAATCACGATTCATCATTCACAATGAAATTAATAATTATTTATAATTAGAAAAAAATTTTTAGTATGTCAAACAAACAATAAAATATCTATAACAAACATAAATACATATCGTACCTGATTAATTTGTATTTTTCATAGACATATTAAATATTTACTGAATTTATTATTGAGTAATTTATCAAATAAAAGATTTATTAGACTATACATCTTTGAAAACTATATGAAAATAAATTTTAATAGAAGCAATTTACTGTTTTAATGGAGCAATTGATCTGACTTGAACTTCATCAGTAACACTGTTGACAAAACAGATGGATGGAATAGCCCCGGGCGCAATCGCGTTTTAATAATAAGACAAAATTAATAAAGAATGAAATTATGTTTTTCAGTAGAAATACCAAATATAGTTATCTAATACAGCAATACCTTATATAAATATCTATAAGTTTATTACAAAATTTCAAGAAAATCACAAAATTTTAAGAAGGTAACTTGCAAATTGCAAATTTGATTATTATATCATAATTATAATTGACTGCAAAAATAATAAAATCATCAAAAGAATCAAAATATGAAATATAACAGATACAATAATCAATGAAAACATTTAAATTTTACAGATGAAAGCAATGAAGCTATTACGTCTGTCGACAAATATCTTTATTCAAATAAATTCTTCGTTTTTACAACAAGTTTTATTCACTTAATCTAGGCAGTGTTTATTTTTTCATGAATATTTATAAAAAATACATGTAACAAATAGACAATAATAAAATTTAGCAATTTTTATGTTTATTTAATTAAACAGTTGCAAACGACTGCTCACGAAGATCGTAATTTTGTTTGGCAACATTTTTTAGCGCTTCGATCATTAATGTTCCGGTTTCTTGAATCAGATTTGATAATTTACCATTTTCATTTTGAAGTAAAATATACGGATGATCAAATTCCTGAAAAAGGAAAGAAATAAATTAAATATATAATGACAACGAATAAATAATAATAATTGGAAATAAAAATAATAATTACTACAACTGAACCGGCGTCCATGACTAATATCTTATCACTGTCCATGACAGTATTGAGTCGATGAGCTATTGTAAGTACTGTGCAATCGGCAAATTTGCGTCTTATGGCCTTCTGAATAAACTCATCTGTTCGTGGATCAACATTGGCTGTCGCCTCATCGAGTACAAGAATTTTATTATTTCTCACAATAGCACGAGCAAGACATACCAATTGCCGTTGTCCGACACTTAAATTGGAACCTTCTTCATTTATATGTTCGTCAAGAGTCATGTCTTTTAGCTCAACGTCTTCAAGTGCTGACCAAAGTATGTGGTCAGAATACTGTTCGAAAGGATCAAGATTTTTTCTCAATGAGCCTGTGAACAAGAAAGGTTCCTGAGGAATTATACTTATTTTGGAGCGGAAATCATGAAGTCCAATTTCACCGATGTCGACGGCATCAATCTCAATATTTCCCTCAATGTCAGCAAGACGAAATAATGCGGATATCATAGAAGTTTTACCAGCTCCGGTGCGACCGACGATTCCTATCTTTTCACGTGGCTCAATGATAAAGTTGAGATTTTTAAGTACTGGTGATTCTAGCGGCGAATAAGACAAGTAAACTTTTTTGAATTCAATTTTCCCTCTGGTTGGCCAGTCATCTTTAGGTTTTTTACTTGGTAAACTCTCAAGAGCAGGTTCGCTCTCAATATTTGTGTACTCAAGTACACGTTCCACTGAAGTCATTTGATTTTCTACCTCAGTGCTCTGTCTCATTCCCCACTGGAACATCCCAGTCAATGCAATACTCTGCGTAATTGCCAGGCCTACGTCACCACCCCTATAGACATTATTCTTATTATCAGAAAGTAATAAAAAGCTCATTGTTACACAAATGATGTAAACGAGACAAACCAAGTCAAGCCAAAATCCAAAAGCTCGAGACGACGCAATATAAATATACCACGCGGATGAATGAAGATCCTGATGATTATCAAACTCTTTGATGAGTATTTCTTCGGCATTGAAAGACCGTATTGTAGGCAGACCCTGTAGTGTAGCACTTAAATGACTAAAAACGGGTGATCTTGTGATGCCTTCTAGCCGTTTTACACTACGACTTGTTGAGACATAAACAACTCGCAGTCCGTAGAATGTTGCACAGATTAAAATAGTAGGAAATATAAGCCAGACATTAGTTACACAGATAACAACAATGATACCAACAAGTGATAACGTAATCTGAATACAATCAATCATGGCCATTGGTAGTAATTCGTCAATAGCACCAATATCTTTTGAAAAACGATTTAATATTCTTCCTGAAGGATTTGTATTGAAAAATCTCATGGTTGCTCTACTAATGCTACGGAACATTTTATCGTGTAATCGTTTAGACGCAGTTACACATAGTTCAAAAAATGCAAAGGATCGAATCAATGTCATCACTACTGTAAGCACAGTCAATCCAGCGAAAATGTATATACATATGTCTCTATCGTCTTCTGAATAAGTTGTTTGATTTGACATGCCCAGTAATTTACTAAATGAGAAATTATTACTGTATCCTTGTTCAAGGTTAACCCAAAATGCAATGAAAAAATCGCTACCGCTTGCAGCTAGTTGAGAGAAAACAAACAGTAGCATTATTATAAAAAGTATACAGCAATTCCCACCAGCTTTATAATAAGAAGAATAAACATGCCCTCCAATGGATCCGCGGGATCGGAACTCCTCAACTTCCGCGGGTTCCAATTGATTTTGTTCTATTTCATTGGTTTTCGAAGAAATGAATGAAGTCATACTGCTTCGTGAATTACTACGACTGTTTGATCCAATAATACTATTTTCGTCATCGTCCTCTGAACTCGACTCAAGTAATCGTCCAAAATCGACTCCCATTTCGACTAATTTATCGTAACTACCTTCTGCGGTAATAGCACCGTTCTTCATCACAATTATTTTCTCAACGTTAGTCAAAAATTGTATTTGATGAGTAACAAGTATTCTAGTTTTACCATGCAAGTACTTTTCGATGCACTCTTCGAACAAGTGTTTACCGACATGAGCATCTACTGCACTCAGCGGATCGTCTAGCAAGAACAGCGGTACATCAGAATAAACAGCTCGAGCTAAATTGATACGAGCTCTCTGTCCACCAGATAAACTCACCCCGCGTTCGCCGACGATAGTTTTGTCGCCGTATGGAAGCAATAAGAAATCTTGCTTTAGTTGGCATACTCCGACAACATTATCATATTTTTTAGCATCCCATGGTCGTCCGAACAGTATATTTTGACGCGCTGAGCCAGCAAATAGCCAAGGTTCTTGACTTGCGTAAGCAATTTTACCACACACATCAACAGTACCTGTATGAGCTGGAAGTTCTTTGAGAATAGCATTGAGTAGACTCGTTTTACCCGAACCGACTTGGCCGACAATAGCTACTAATTGACCTGGTTCAATATGCAAATTGATTCTTTTCAGTGTATCTTCACTGTCTTCATCGAACCATTTAGCATGAAAATTTTTGAACATCACAACACCATTATCTTTTTGGATATTTTCATTTTTATTTGAATTTTTATCGCTTCTATTATTATTTTTATTATCCAACTCGATTTCTTCATACATTAAAAATGTCTGAAGACGTTTCACCGACACTAGCGCCTCAGCTACTTGTGCAATTCCTATAGGGAAAAATATTGTCATTATCTGGCGTAAAATGTTGTAGTACGCTACCACCATAAATACTTTTTCAGCAGTAATTTGTTTGCCTGATAACACACAAGATAATATTGTGAAGAATAACGATAAGCGTGTTGCAAACATCATGAATGACATAGTGACACCTCGTAAAAAAGAAGCGTATCTAATGATACCCATTTCTTTTTTACGAATACCTTTTATGAGATCACTGAATGGGTGCTCCCAAGCATACATTTTTATAGCTTGAATCCCGCTGATAATCTCGTTGGTTGAATGTACTCTCTCATCAGTACGTTTTGCTGTACGTAAACGTAGTGTTGATGATTGCTTTCCAAGCCACCCTTGAAGTGGAATAAATAATAGAAGCGACGCGACTCCAATTATTGCAGCTACACCAACTTCTTGATACATCAAATAAGTTACAATGATTGTCGCAACAGGACTTATCCATAGGTAGTGAACAAATATGGCCGCTACGTCAAATCTAGTGACGTCGTTTGACAAAAGATTGACCGCTTGGCCGGTTGTCGTCTCACCTAAAGCTGTTCTTGATAACTTCAATGACTTACGGTAAATCAGTGAACAGCATGCTATGCGCATTTTCATACCCATGTGGAAAATAGCCAACATATAAGGGTGTCCTACGAATATATTTATCGCCGAACTTAATATTACACCACCAGCGTATAAAAATGCTTCTGTTTTACTTAATTCTGATGTTGTGAAGAATCGGAGCAGCCTTGCTAGCGCTATTGGTTGTAGCATCCTGTAAAAATAAATTTCATTTTACAAATACATTAATTAATTAAACCGATAAATATTAAAGTAAACGTTCATTGAAAGTTATTTATAACAAGTGATTGCTGATAATGAGGATGTTAAAAAAAAATTTGATAAAAAATCGAAAAATAAAGGAAAATTCTTAAAATAATTGGAGACATTTTCAGTATCTCGGATCGCATTAGTCACAGAATATGCTATAAATACATTTAATTTTAAAAATTATATACATATCTATAATTCTGATTTGATTACTATTAGGTGATGTTGGGGTCTTGTTGGAAGATCAAGACAAAGGATTGTTAGATCTTTTTAAGAAGTTTGGATTACCGGAGAACGTTAAATAAGCTGAATCGATTTATAGCTTCAAGGAAGTAAATGAACATAATCTGAAACAACGCAAAATTAACCCTCAACCGCAAGAATAAAAACAATTCTTACCTAATCGGCTGCCCAATTTCAAAAAAACAGTAACTAACATTTAGAAATTTTTTAAAATTTTTCTTATTTAAAATAAGTTTGCCTGCCAAAATGATGAAAAATTTGATTTATGAATAGAAAATAGTTGAATATAAATATTTTTAAGAAAAAATACTTGAAATTAAGGTCTAAAAATTATAAAAAATGCAGCAATATTAAAAAAAAATTAGGTATCAAAATTTTGCAGTTACTGTGTTTTAAAATTGGGCAGCCGTAATATTCCCAAAAATTGCGAAGAAATTCGGCAATTTAAGTAAAATTGGGATTATACCGGCAAAGCATCGACTAGTAAGAAAAAGGAAATGAGCGATGATAATCCAGAGAAGAAAAAGAGGACAAGTAAAAGAAAAACAAGATTTTTCGAGTATGATATTAAAGAGTCGACGGAGGATTATAGACGTATAAGCCTGAAAATAATTTTAAATACGGCTTTAAATGAAAATTTACCTGAAAGTCATCAGAAAATTTTTAAAAAAGTTATAAATAAAGACGTTAAAATATCCTCAAGATACAGTATTGAATGTGGATTACTTCTTAATTATGTATTCCAAGCAAGATTTAAGTCCGTTCAATATTCTCCTGTAGAGTACAATAAAAAATATTCACTTGTACAGAAAAATAACAAAAATTCAGAAGCAGCTAAAATAATTCAGTGGATGTCATGTCTCCAAGAATTATATAAGAGTTGTATATCTATTTATGCAGAGACAAAGTCATTTATCGACGAATATTAAAAAATTAGGAAAGAAAGACGTGGAGAAAAGCATGTCCTCGATTTAGTTAAAAAAAAGGGCGAATTTTTAATTCAGAAAGATTCGCCAAAATCACAGTTTACGGAGCGTGGAATAGTATGGATAAAATAAAAATTAAAAAAAAACAAATAAAGCTTTACATAGGGTTGTCAAAGAAATGGTACAAACTAAATATAAACCACCGACTTAAACATGGGAAGAAAAAGAAAAGAAAAGAAAGGAAAAGCAACGAAAGAAGAATAAAAAACGTCAGAAGATCCGTATAGAAAAGGGACTTAAATTAAAAGATAAAACGAAGGAAGATCAACGATCAAATGTTCTATTCGATAAAAAACGAACTCGTAACAAAACACTTAAAAATAGAAAACGTACTAAAAAAGTAAATAAAAAAAGATTGGAAGCTGAAAGAGAATGAGTTTTTTTAAGCTGCAGGATCACTACAAAAAAGAAAAATTGAAGATGCAACAACTCCAGAAGAAAGAGAAAAAATAACATCAATAACAAGAGAAGGATTTAATGTTATACAACGTAAAAAAACAGAGAAACCAGTTGAAAATTTGGTTAAAAAAATGAAGGAATTTATGTATATACAAGGTAAAATAAATTATAAAAAAATAATAACAACCAGAAAACTATAAGAAAGCGGAAAAAAATAAATTTCATAATAATCAAAAAATTGAACCAAAGAAATCAAAACCTGTCACTGTATTTTATGGTACTGGTTATAAATTTATGAGACGTGCTCATTTCTCTGGTCGTAAATTTAAACATCAAAAGCTTATCTTTAGAAGAAACTTGTCTTCTCATGGCTTGAACCATGAGAATGTACAAAAATACTAAAATTATTATCATAGACGAGTACAATACTTCTTGAGCTTGTTCAAATTGTTTGGCCAAAGGTAAATTTCAACCTTAAAAATATAATCCTAAAAAATGAGTAATCATGTGTATACTTAAATTTAGCTAAAAGTATGTATTTAATTAGCATAAATAAAAAAAAAACCATCAATTAGAAGTGATACTAGTAGTCGACGAAAAAAATAAGCAAAAACAACTAGCAGCAACAAAAACAGGGACTCAATAATAACAAAGATGAGAACAACCAAGAAAAAAAGTGAGTGTAAGCTAGAAGTTACATCCGAATGTGAAGAAGAAACTAACAATAAAATCAGTTGGTTTTTGTCATCGACTAGTATGGTATTAATTAGTACGAAACAATTCAATGATTGTACTGATGACAATATCACACTAATTGATTTATTTTCATCGTTTTATTCAAATTAGCTACTGGGATTTTTTATACCGGATGCACCGAAGTTGTCACAAACAGCGATGTCAATGATTTTTTCAATTAGTAATAAACAACTAACCTTAGAACGAGTTCCATAACAGCTAATGCAACTCCATAAAGAGCGATGCGCGGGCCAAAAACTTTAAATAATACTTTTTTTAAACTAGGTATTTTTTCTGCCTTATTATCAATTAGTTTGTCTTTGTCTGATTGTACTCGCTCTTTGTTAGATTTCATATTAACACTGCATTTTTTGACTTCTTTTTCCCACGCAGCAGCCAACTTATCACCTAATAAACTGCTCTTATGCTCTTTTAATGGCCTACAGAGATCGTCGATTTCCAAGTCTCTTTTGTATCCTTCCCAAAAGATTTTTAAAGTCCATCTATGAGAGTTAAATTGTTAATGTAACTTTGTAAAGAATGATAATATATTATTTAAATACTTACGCAAATGTTAAAGCATTTAAGGGATTAACACCTTCTCGTGGATTTTTTTTCTTCTCGATGTCAACCTTAGAGTCCATCTTTGAAGTTTGAAAGGTTATTAATTTTCAATAATCGGATTTTTATATTTTATCGGTACATAAAATTATATTTTACAAATTTAATAATTCATTTCACACAAGAACGTCTTCTATAAATTTTATAACTTTCACTAATAATTGCATTTCAATATACGAAATTACACAAAATTTAAAAACTAACTGAGTGTTACAGTAATTAAGTATTAAATGAAATAAATATTTGGTTAAGTAACATCACTGTTGAGCTAAATGATCTTCTCAACTTATCAACAAGTTAATTGGTGATTAATAACCATGGGTTTAAGTGATAACTTATAAATACTAACGTACGAATGATAAAAAAAGTTTTGGGTCAGAATGTATAAGACATGATATTATTTAGCCGACCGCTGTTTATGGTAATTATCAAAAAATAATCTTATAAATTTTCTCAGAATTTTAAGCGATTTAGAGTAAGCAGACTTTATCAGAGTAATTTGTTTGTTTCTCAGTGAAGATATTAATGGTAATATTTTGAAATACAAAAGACTAAAAACAATAAATTATTTATGAAGTAGTAAAACTTGCTAATTTAAAAGTAAATAATTGAATCTAATTAGAGTTTAATTAGAATTAATTATTCATAAATTATAAATAATTAATAGATTAAATTCAAATAAAAAAAAAAAAATTAGTAGTTTTTAACATTCAATTAATCAATTTTTCTTTACATTCTAATAACATAGATTATCACATAACTATAAACATATTTGAGATAAAGTTTCAACGAGGAATCATACATTTAATTTCAATCACAAATATGAGAAGATATAATACTGTATATTTACATGATAACGTAAATTGGAATAAATTTATTGAGATAATATTTGTATCTATTAGTATAATTAAAAATGATTTAATATTCGATGTTTAAAATAAAAAAATATAGCTATATTCCTTATATTTATAAAGATATCAAGTATAATTAATTTCTTTAAGGCAAGTTCAGTTTAGACACTTATACCTTATTAAGTATTATTATGTTTATACATAAGTATTGTTAGCTTAAATGTATACAATAAAATTTTATTACTTCTAAGATTATAAATAAGAACTACCTGGTTTGTATTAAGAATATTGATTTACAAAATAATTCTCTTCTATTTTAGTGAGTTGTAGAATTCATAATTCTGCTGGGCAACATTTTTCAATGTTTCTATCATCATTGCACCGGTCTCGTTAACCATTTTTGATAGATATCCATTTTCGTTTCCAAGTAGAATGTAAGGATGGTCAAATTCCTGAAAAATAAACAATATAAATTGAGTTTATAAGAACAAATACAATTAAAAAAAAAAAAATAATAATAATAATAATAATAATAATCAGTACCACAACTGAGCCAGCGTCCATGACTAATATTCTGTCACTGTCCATGACAGTATTGAGTCGATGAGCTATTGTAAGTACTGTACAATCGGCAAATTTACGTCTAATAGTCTTCTGAATAAACTCATCTGTCCGTGGATCAACATTGGCTGTCGCTTCATCGAGTACAAGAATTTTATTATTTCTCACAATAGCACGAGCAAGACATACCAATTGCCGTTGGCCTACACTTAAATTAGAACCTCCTTCATTAACATGACTTTCTAGACCCATTTCTTTTAACTCGACATCTTCCAGCGCTGACCATAAAATACTGTCAGGATAATCTCGAAAAGGATCAAGATTTCTTCTCAATGTACCGGAGAACAAAAACGGTTCCTGAGGGATTATACTTATTTTGGTACGAAAATCATGGAGTCCAATTTTACCGGTATCTATACCATCAATCTCAATGTTACCCTCAATGTCAGCGAGACGGAATAAAGCTGATATCAGAGAAGATTTTCCTGCTCCAGTGCGTCCGACAATTCCTATCTTTTCATGCGGTTCAATAGTAAAGTTGAGATTCTTGAGTACGGGTGGTTCTAAAGGCGAGTAAGACAAATAAACGTTTTTGAATTCAACTTTACCTCTAGGTGGCCAGTCATCCTTAGGCTTTTTATCTGGCAAACTCTCAAGCGCAGGTTCGCTCTCAATATTCGTATATTCAAGCACTCGCTCCACTGAAGTCATTTGATTCTCGACTTCAGCAGCTTGTCTCATTCCCCACTGGAAGACTCCAGTTAATCCAATGCTCTGAGTGATTGCTAAACCGACATCACCACCTTCGTAGTTTTTATCATCTTCAGTAGACATGAATAGGAAGCTCATAGTCACAAGGCTGATGTAGATAAGGCAGATAACATCCAGCCAATAACCAAACGCTCGTGAAGATGCAATATAAATATACCAGGCAGTAGAATGAAGGTCCTGATGATTATCAAATTCTTTAGTCAACACTTCTTCTGCGTTGAATGAACGTATTGTAGGTAGACCTTGTAACGTCGCGCTGAGATGATTAAAAACAGGTGATCTTGTGATACCTTCCAGTCGCTTTACACTACGACTTGTTGAAACATAAATAATGCGCATACCGTAGAATATGGAAAAAATAACAATAGTAGGTATTAATAGCCATATATTAGCGGTCGCAACAATAACAACTATACCAATGAGAGTAAGGCCTACTTGTATGCAATCGATCAAGGTCATGGGCAGTGATTCATCAATAGCACCCATGTCTCGAGAAAAGCGGTTCAGTACACGTCCTGAGGTATTTGTGTTGAAGAATTTCATTGTAGCTCGACTAATACTGCGGAACATTGTGTCATGTAGACGCTCTGACGCTCGTACACACATTGCGAAAAATGCAAACGATCTCGTGAATGTTATCACTACGGTAAGTATTGTTAGTGCCGAAAAAATATATATACAAATATTTCTATCGTGGTCTGATAATTTAGGGGTCGAACTCGAAGTACGAACTAAATTACTGAAGGTAAAATTACTGTTATTGTCTTGTTCTAGATTAACCCAAAAGGACACAAAGTAATCACTACCACTAGCTACTAATTGAGCACTTACAGTCAGTAAAAATACAGTGAATAATACGCAGCCGTTCCCACCCGCTTTGAAAAAAGAAGAGTAAACGTATCCTCCAATAGATCCTTTGGTACGCATCTCAGCAACTTCTTCAGGTTCAGCTTGAATCTGGCCTGTAGTTTCGTTGGTCATGAATGAACTGAACGAAGCGACACTTGCGTGCCTTGAATTTTTTCGGCTCCTCCCCAGAGACAGAGTATCTTCTGCTTCTTCTTCTTCCTGTGGTGACTCCAGTAATCGGCCGAAGTCGACTCCCATTTGAATTAATTTATTGTAACTACCTTCTGCAATAATAACACCGTCCTTCATCACAATTATCTTCTCAACGTTACTCAAAAATTGTATCTGGTGAGTAACAAGTATTCTAGTTTTGCCGTGTAAGTACCTTTCGATACACTCTTCGAACATGTGTTTACCGACATGAGCATCTACTGCACTCAGCGGATCGTCTAGCAAGAACAGCGGTGCGTCAGAGTAAACAGCTCGAGCTAAATTGATACGAGCTCTCTGTCCACCAGACAAACTCACCCCGCGTTCCCCTACGATAGTTTTGTCGCCGTACGGAAACAGTGAGAAATCTCGCTTCAGCTGGCATACTTTAACCACTTTATCGTATTTTCTAGCATCCCATGGTCGTCCGAAAAGTATGTTCTGACGCACTGAGCCAGCAAACAGCCAGGGTTCCTGACTTGCATAAGCAATTTTACCACACACATCAACAGTACCTGTATGAGCTGGAAGTTCTTTAAGAATGGTATTAAGTAGACTCGTTTTACCCGAACCAACTTGGCCGACAATAACTACTAATTGACCAGGTTTAATATTTAAATTAATTCCTTTCAATGTTTCTTCATTATCTGAATCTAACCACTTAGCATGTACATCATCTAGTGTTACAGATCCTTCAATCTGAGGAAGTAAAGGCTCCGCTGCTTTTTCATCCTTCAAATCCTTATCATTATCATCATTATAATAAATATTGTTGAGTTGACTCTTTTTACGTGCTTTATCATTCCTTTCTATTTCTTCGGTCATCAAAAACGTCTCAAGACGTTTTATCGAGACCAAAGTTTCAGCCACTGTAGTAATACCTTGTGGGAAGAATACCGTCATAGTTTGACGTAAAATACTGTAGTAAGCCGTCAACATATATACTTTTTCAGCGGTTATTTGATTGCCCGCTAACACGTAAGCCAGCATTGTGATAAAAAGCGACAAACGAGATGAAAACAACATAAAGGACAACATAACGCCTCGTACATACGATCCATATTTTACCATTCGCATTTCTTTCTTCCTTGCTTTTTCAATTAGATTGCTGAATGGATGTTCCCATGCATACATTTTTATAGCTTGGATACCACTAATAATTTCGTTTGTCAACCGTACTCTCTCATCAGTACGTATAGCCGTCTTAAAACGGAAAATAGATGATTTTTTGCCCAGCCAACCCTGGAGAGGTATAAACATCAACAACGACGCTACTCCGATTATCGCAGCTACACCGACTTCTTTATACATCAAGTATGTGACAATAACAGTCTCAACGGGACTGATCCAAAGATAGTGGATGAAAACTGGTGTTAAGTCAAATCTGTTCACATCATTCGATAATAGATTAACTGCTTGGCCTATTGTCGTCTCACCTAAAGCTGTTCTTGATATCTTCAATGACTTACGGTAAATCAGCGAACAGCATGCTACGCGCATTTTCATACCCATGTGAAATATTGCCAATAAGGATGGGTGTAGTACAAATACATTGGCTGCTGAGCAAAATATTACTCCACTTGCGTATAAATAAGCTTCTGTTTTGCTAATGTCTGATGTTGTAAAGAAACGTAGCAGCTGGGCTAACGCTAGAGGCTGAAGAATTCTGTAATAATTTTAAACAATCAGTAATCTAGTTTTTATAATATTAATTGATTTCAATGAAAATAGAGGAAAATAAAAAAAAAATATGTTAAAATCTAATTAGAACGTTGATTTCATCTTCGATACAAATTACTTAAGAAAATGTCTCTGTCATTAGATATACTATCAGATTTTTTTTTTATATTATAATTTAAAAAATGTGAAATGTTTATCTCTTATCAGTCTTTAACAAAAGAGTAAATAATAACTTTGTAGCTTAATTAATTGCATTTAATTTTTTTGATATAATAAAATGACAATAAATTAAATACAATTGATTTCATAAGTTAGTTAAAACATTATGAAATAAAATCAGAATATTATATCATCATTAATCAAGTATAAATTAAAAAATGATTATCACATTTCAAATCAATTGGGGCATATGCCATAGTGACTGGTGGGACATTTGTCTCCGGATTTTAACCAATTATGAGCTATAATTATGTGATCAAATCTTACACAATAGCGAAATGTATCTTATAACATAGAAAAATAATGAATTTACAAAATCCCATAATAAACAACTCCAAATACTTTCAGATTTTCTTGTAATTATCACTCGAATAAGTGTGACTGGTGGGATAAGAAAAATCCCCTCTCTTACCGCCACGTACTAAACGACCAATTTTAGTTCGATTACTAATCTTTTAAAAGAGATTTTTTTTTCTTAATATAAAGTCTATTGTATATTCTTTCATTTTCATTAATAATTAGACTGATTACCTTACGTAGAATCAATAAAAAAAATTTTTTAGTTGTGACTGGTGGGACAGAAAACCGAAACAGCATTTATTTCTCAATTTAATTTAGTAGGATTAAAAAATTTTAAGCAAGAAAAATCGATTTTTTATTGATTTAAACTAATTTTCTTTGCAAGTATGTGTACATGCAGACATTTAACCACCAATACGTACTTAATTAGAATTAATTGAGTATGATTAATTGAGAATGCCCCAATTCAAAAAATAAATAGTTATAATAATGAACTTACTCAGTGAATTAATAATGACTTATTATCTTTTACTAATAATAAATTAATGAAAATCATACCGAATAACAAGTTCCTGAATAGCCAACGCAACTCCGTAAAGAGCAATGCGAGCACCAAAAACTTTAGTTAAAGCTCTCTGCAAGCTAGGAGTTTTACTTTTTTTATGTTTAACTTTCACATTGCTTTCCGATTTGCCTGGTTCCTTTTTTGGCTTCGTATTCATATCATACAACTGTACTTCTTTATCCCACGCTGCCGCTAAATTATCACCCAGTAAACTACTTTTATGCTCCTTCAGCGGCTGAGAAAGATCCTCGATCTCCAACTCTCGTTTGTATCCATTCCAGAAAATTTTTAACACCCACCTGAAAACCAAATCTGTAGTATAGTCTTCAATCACCCAATAAATTTTTATTTTCGTAATAAATACTTACGAAAGTGTAAAAGCACTCAAAAGGTTTATTCCCTCCCGCGGGTTTTTCTTCAGTTCAACATCCACTTTTGAATCCATATTTCTACTAACAATAATTTTAAATCTTATAAAAAAAAAAAAACACTTGGATATTTAATAATTATCAAGTTTTTATTTAATTATTGAATTAATTTTTTTCATTTATTTTCCTGTTTATACGGAAATTTTATGACCACTTACAAGCATATTGATATTTTTAATGATTTATTTGTTTATTAACCAGATATTTTTTTTCGCGTTTATCTTGATAATTATTGCGAACAGTTAACAGATTATTTAATTTGAGGAACATTTATTTGCTCTGATCAAATAAGTTGTATAAAATTATGAAAAATTCAGAAAATTATACTCACATTTTATCTTTTGATAAATGGATGATAAAAATAATATTTTATTTTGCAATAGTTTGTAAATCATTTAACATTTTACATAACACGTAACTATATTTTTTAGTCCTTAATATTATCGCCTCAATTTATTATTCTAAACAATAACTTGAAATTATTTTTTAAATTCATGATTAAAGCTTTTAAATTTAACTTTTTAATTTTGTTGATAACTAAAAACTATGTACAAACAACTAGTACATACTGTTGGAACAAAGTAAATGCAGTTAAAGATAATGAAACTCAATGACTTGTTAACGCTTAACAATATAAGCGTGGTAAGCGGTTTCGCATTTCAATGATAAATGAAGAATGTGTTGAAAATTATAAAATTCAAACAACTCCGTCATTCCATAAATAATTAAATTTCAAGCGACTCAACTTACTGCGACTATAAAACAGTAAATATACGATCGTATATCTGAATAAATGAATTTTTATGGGACGTTTCCAGCTGAAGTAATGAAAAGCAATGAATAAAACCTGTCATGGTCATGCGATTGAATCAAACAAGTGTATCAATCTTTTGTAGATTGCCGTTTTTTTTGTTATGATACTTTGAACTGATTCTTGAGTGTTATTACTACACATACATATATATGTATATTTACACACTCAATTATCTCAATTATCGGTCCGTTACGACATTCGCTCCAATTACCACTAGTTCGTGTGTGATTTAATCACTGACTATTTACAAAATACACATGTTAAACAGTGAAATTGTTTATTAGTTATTTCTTCATTCTAATTATTGATAACTATTCATATACTCGATTCATTAGTATATTATGTGTATTATGTCGGCTAAATATGTACTTGCTTGATGTTTTAAAAAATTTCAGATTTGAATTTCCCGCTATGAGCAGTCACCACCAAACTATAAAAAAAAATTTTAAGGTTATTAATGAGGTGAACATCAGAAAACAACAGCATGCTTTTTGGTCTGGATGGTTAATTTTTCATTAATATTGTCATTTTAAAATAAAACATGGTTACGAAAGAAAAAAACACTGGAGATTACCGCAGTAAGTTTTTTATTATATTTTTTTAGTAATAATTTTTAAATTATTGATTTTTATCAGATAAATATGTTTTTTTTTGTCAGCTGTGTGGTTAAAGTATGAGCTAACGAATTCGGATAAACATCAATTGTTTTTAAAAGAACATAAAATACAAAAACAAGAGCCAGAATTTCCACGAGGCCGTACCTTATTTGTACTAAATCTACCACCTTACGCAACTGTGTCTTCCCTGAGAGCAGCATTTTCTAGGCACTGTGGACATGTTAAAACCGTGAAACTCGCTGCTCGTGTAGCAAGCACCAAAATAGGTTTTAAAACTGCTTATGTAGTTTTTTCAAAAGAGTCGGAATTACAACAGGCACTCTCTTTACCGAGGGATTTTGTGATAATATTAAACGAAGCTGAGGCTCCTGGTTTATTTGGGATAAAAAGTAAGATATTCTTTTGCTGTTTGTGATAAATTTCATAAAAAATTAGATATTGCATTTGTCTTGATGACGGAACTTTTAAATAATTTTTCTATTTCCTGACTCAGCTTGTTGAGCTAGTTCAGAAAATACATATGGTTCAAAAGTTATTATTTTATTATATATGTATATATTAGCAAAAGTGCGCCCCAGTTAGCACAAGCGAAACGAAGTTCACGTAAACCTGCGGCCGGAATTTGACGTAAAGTTTTCGCTAACAATAGAGCAACAGTTATACTTACTTATAACAGTTGACGTGAAGTTAACGTTAACTTTCTGTAACTTTGCGTTAACTTTGAGCGAACCTTTTGGAAAATTCCGGCAATAGATTTACGCTAACTTGATGCGTAAGTTAAAGTCAAGTTCTGGGAAACTGTTGCAAATGCAGAGGTTGACGCGAAGTTAACGTAAAGTTGACGTAAACCATTGAACATCAACTTAGATGATGGTCAACCTGTGCTAACTGGGATGAAGGTCCCAGAGTTCAAAGAAGAGCTTAATCGGTCAAGTAGTTCAGAAATGACAAAATTTTTAAATTCTCAAAATCATTATGATTCATATTTTTTCATTTTCTTTCTTGAATTATTTTTAAATGTGATAACATATCGAATTTCTGTAAGTTTTGCATTTGAAAGTTCTTTAAAAAAGCTTTAATTTGAGTATTATAATGTATGTATAGACAAAAAGTTACGTCCCATTTCACTATGTCTAATGTGAAATTTGCTGTTCCACTAATCTCTGAAAGGAAATCTGTAAGAGTGATTGGAGTATTTAAATCATTAGTATTATGATTTTATCAGAATAGGAAATCTATTTCCATCTCGGCTGTCAAATGGCACTTTTTTTTATTTTTTCAGTGTATAAAAATAGACCGTGAAAACCGGAATCACAAGATAATGTTATAGTCAATAAATGTTACAATAAATAATTAATTTTTTTTTTAGAATGGAGTAAAGAATATAATTCCGGCATGATATTAAACGAAAAAGAAGTTAAGGAATCAATTGAAAAGTATATGGCTGCGTATGATAAAAGAGTAACGGCTGAAGAAAATGAAGAAGAAGTAGACGAAGATGGTTTTATAAAAGTTTCGAGTAAAAAGAAACGTGGACAATTTGCACCTCAAAGAAAGGAGTCGACGATAGAAGAGAAAAAAAAGAAACTGCAAAAGGAGAAGAAATTAGTTAACTTTTACCAATTCCAAATACGAGAAACTAAAAAACAACGTAAGTATATATATATTTTTAAATGTTAGTAATTTTAATTAATTAGTAAATTTAATAATAATTTAATATATTTATTTTTTCTAGAACTGGAGGAGATGAGAAAGAAATTTGAATTAGACAAACAAAAAGTCAAACAACTTAAATCTCAAAGAATATTTAAACCATTTGGATAAAAAACAATTTTATATTTATTAATAATAAATATTTTATATAAAAAACATTAACTTTGTACATCATTTATTATTAATATCATTTTTTAAAATTTTATACAACCGAAACTTTTGAACCATAAGTCATTAATGTCCATTCGATTAAAAAGTGTCGACACGCAAGTGGTTGCAGTAAAGCCAACAATTCTTCTGTTAATCAGTAAAAGTATATTAATTAATTAGTAAATTATATTTTATTGATAATATAAATTTACTTACGTTTGTTTCCATAAATACAATTGACAGACAAAGCTGTACTGACAGCTTGCGCTAATCGCTCCATAGCTAAATCACAGTTGACTTTCAAAACACTTGGACCCGACTGTTCCAACAACGATGTCAACGTACGCGTTGTTTGTGCCAAGTGTTGAGCGGAAATCGCATGTTTGTTACCACTGTTATCTTTTAACCGCAAAACTGCATCCATAAGTAATTGCTGGATTTTAGAATATAATTTCTTACGCTCGTCTATTGTATTTTTGTCGATATCATCTTCTTTACGTGCTGGGTTTAATATACACCACCTTAAATATAAAAATTAATTTATTAAATTATTAAATTATTGACTTTTGCCATTTAAATATAGAGTAAATACCTAAATAAACCAGCGATAGGAGTAATTGGAGTCATAGGTATTCCACCAGACGGCAAAGCAGGATTATCCATCAAAGAAGTAGTTAACAACCCTGGATTATCATCAATCCAGTCACCCACCAACTTCAACAACTCATTCGGGGGGTCTAGAAATTTATAAACTTCACCTATCGCTGTCAATAAATTTGCCGTAAAATAAGGCACCAATACTGGCAATTGTTTTAATTTGTCTATTGAATTCGGTGAAAAAACAAAAAAATCATTGAGGATATGCTTTGCCAAGTCAACACTCTGCGCAGAAGTTGATCCTAATTGTTGCATCCACATTCCCGTGGAATCCAGCACTTGCCGGTTTTGCGTTGATATTGACAACGACACTAAGTTACCCAGTATCTCATACCTAGGGCACTCACCGGGGAATAAAAATAAAAACACAGCATTACGTACTGCCGGACTGCGATCTGGGTCGCGAAAAAAGTCGCTTAGTACTTCGATCAACTGAAACTCCTGAAGACTCTCAGGCTTCTTCTGTTGCTTGAGTTTATCCACTTCACCGAATACAAATTCGATCATTAAATCTGTTTGCAACTGGATCTGCTGCCTTACTGTCGATCCAGTCATTCGCGATAAGTCCGCTATGACAAATGAAATTTTATGTTTAACAATAAATTTATAATTATTATTAATAATTAAGAATAATTTTATTTTTTTAAGAAAATATAACCTTACCTATGGCTACAAGTGCTTCTTTGGCACATGCTGGAAAATCGAGCTTTCTCAAGTAATATTTTATATCTGAGTCTGGTATTGACGAATTTGTTTGTGGATACGCGGAGTAATTCATTATTTATAAATATTAATTATCAATAATTATTTAATAATCCGGCATTCAATGTAAATAAATAAATAATTTGATGTAAACATTACTAAATATATTTATTGCATATATTTTCTCGGCAGGTGACACTAGTTCATATTTTTTAAGGACAATTAAAGATGGTCACACTCTTTAGTGTGTGTGTGTGTGTGTGTGTGTGTGTGTATGTACATATGTGTATTTACATCAGACCTGTCAAATAATTCTAAAAACTTTTTTTATATTATCTTAAATAATTTTTAAACCCAATATTTAAATATTTTACACAAACGGATAAAACAAATGAAAATGTCTCGACCTTATGAAGGCATCCGTTACACTTCGGAAAAACAAGTTGTTGTATTGGATATTGGATCAGCGTATACGAAGTATGTATTTTGATAAACTAAGAAAAAGTTTAACAATGATTTGCTTAAACAAATCATTAATTATTAGAAAAACATTGTCAAAAATAAGTGATAGTGGATACAACAGTTAATTGACAGTTTTTTGTTTCAAATATTTACTTATGGAGTACAGATTAAAATTCTTTGCCAACTACTTTTACTCTTTCTACTTTTATATTATTTCATTAAACTTAATAACAATTTTATAATAATTAAATTTATTTACAGATTTGGATATGCTGGCGAAGGAACACCACGAGGTATCGTACGGACAGAGGTTAAATGTTCTGATACAAAGCAGATGCGAAAAATTTATAAATATATTGACACTGACGATCTGTATCAACTGCTTGTTGAGTTTTTTCACGTTATATTTTTCAGGTAATTTATGATTTTGATAACAATTAACTAATTAATAAATGAATTAATCAATTATTTTATCGATTTAGACATGTTGTAATAACTCCAAAAGATGTGAAAGTATTAATTCTGGAATCATTGCTGACACCGTCAAAATTTCGTGACACAATGGCTAAAGTACTATTTAGGCACTTTGAAATTGGTTCGCTGATGATTTTACCTACACATTTAGTGACAATTAGCACCTTAGGATGGGACACAGCTCTTGTACTTGACGTAGGATATCAAGATGCGACTCTTATTCCTATTTATAAAGGAGTTCCTGTTCTTAAAGCTTGGCAAAGTCTACCTCTGGCTTCTGAAGCTATTCATGAGTAAATATTTTCTAAACTAATATACATGGATTAAAATTGAGCACATGATTAAACATTTATTTTTAGGCGTATCAAAAATGATATGAAAGAAGCCATACCTGAGGTTGAACTTACAGAGCGAGTTATTGAAGACATTAAAGTTCGAACTTGTTTTGTAACAACTTTAGAACGTTCTAAAAAGTTAGGTACCGATGATGCACCAGCACCTCCGCCGTCGGTTAAATATCCAGGGTTAAAAACCATTGAAATTCCTGGATATGTCAGAGAAAGATCTTACGAATTATTATGGGAACGCGATGCTGATAATTTGAGCATACCTACAATGATATTAGATGCTATATTAAAGGTATCTATTATTTTAAATTGATTGAATTATTATTGTTCTAAACTTATTAAATCTATTTTAGTGTTCTATCATGACTCGTCACGAGCTCGCGGAAAATATTCTTTTGATTGGTGGAACAACAATGGCAAAAGGATTTGCTGCTCGTCTAAAGTCAGAACTGACGTCTCTCGTAGCAAGTGATTTATATTCGAACAAATTAAAAATTCCTCACTTTAAATTTCACACCGCTCCATGCAAACCTAATTATACGGCTTGGTTGGGTGGTGCAATTTTTGGTATTACTGATTTGCCATCTAGATGTATTACCAAAGACACTTATTTAAAGACGAATAGAATTCCTGACTGGGTTAATTTGATTGATAACCAAAAAGAACTAGGATCTAATTATGGTGTATAAAATTGAATAAGTTTTTTTTTTTTTTATATGAATAAAATTGTTATTTATAAATTATTAACACGGTTAATGTTTTTATATCTGTAATGATAAATCCTATTTTTTGTGAAATTGAATTTATTTTAACAGAAATTTTACTAAAAAAATGTATTTAGATTAAGTTTATTTCAAATTTAATTATAATAAAAATTAAAACATAGAAAAGAAATATTTTAAATTATAAACATCATTCAATTGATGAGTATCTTTAAGTGTAAGTTGATTTTCTAATTTTTTTACACACAAATTAATGTTTTAATTTAATAAAATTGAAAAGTCATGTAAGATTATTGATAGTTATAATTGCGATTTTATTTACTTATAAAATTGTTTTTACGCTGATCAAAATATTAAGTAATCACTGAATATACAGAATATTAATTTACAAAGTAGTTAAAAGTGTAAGCTTCTCATTGAGCTGAAGTTGAGTTTTTATTAATTGTGATAATGCAACAACCATCAAAAGGTCCTTGACGTTGCTGTTGAACATCTCGTCAAATTGATCACTTGTCATCTTAGGAACAGAGTTAACCATATCAAGAAGCGCTCGGCCAACCTGGTTGTCTGGAGGCTGTTTGCCGTCAAGCACATTGTCAACGTAAGCTAAAACTTGTTCCAACATTGTCGCCAATTTAGAGCTAGCTTCAGCAATTTGCGCAAGATCCATCATTGGCTCAACTCCGCCTCCTAATTTAGTTTGTCCTGATGGAGCTTTCTGTGTTTTTTGGCACAGCTGAAGTCCGACGATTTCTGGCTCATAGCATGTAATCTGTAAATTCATAAATCACGGATGTAATATTTATAATTTATACATTAAAATTAGAGTTAAAAATTGAAATATAAAATTTTAAATACCTCAACTTTAGTAGGAGTAAACATACATCCTTGTTTGCCATTCGGTACTCCAAGTTGTACACAGACATAAGCTTTAATTCCCATACGCGTTGTATTCACCAGCGTAGTGTCAACCGTTAAATGGACTGGATTATTACACTCTCGTGCATAATACTCATGGATAACCGACGAATGCGTGGTTACCTCTTTGCCAGTAGCCCACCAGCCGACAATGTTTTCTTGAGCATTTACACGATGATTCAGATCATAAAGATCCATCGCGTAGCTCAATTCTGCCTCTACTTGATCATCGGATTCCTTGTGAGGGACACAGAAGCAATTCGTTACTTCAACCACTCCTTTTTCGACGGTACCTAAAATTACATTTTTTAATTAACTACCACAAAATTTTTTCAATATAAATTCTAATAAAAAAAAAAAAAGAATAAGGAATTTATCAATAATAATAATTATTATTATTATTATTATGAGCTACGTGTAACACATGGATTTAGAGGTTAATGGTCATGTGACAATTTTGTTTACTAAAAATAACGTAAAGTATAAATTATAAGATGGAGTGAAATAATAATAGTCATTACTTACCAAGTAAAGTACCGATTACACGGTGTGAATCAGAATTACGACGCTCAAATGCATCGACTATTTGAAATAAAACCACGGGGTGAACTTTGACAACAAGATCGAGCGCCATTTTTACAATACAAGCAACTGGCAATGTTAAGAATCCTCCTCGTTCTCTGACTGCTTGAGAAAAATGTTGTTACTGCTGCTGCCATCAAAGATCAGTGTTTAATTGTGAAAACTAATTCTAACTTCAATTAAATTTCACAAATGGTAAGTAAACAATGCAAGCCGGTTTTCTAAACTTTATTTTTGTTTAATTAATTATTTTACTAAGTGATTTACCAATTTAATACATTAATTAAAAATATTTAGGTATTATGGACTTACCGGAAGAGTTTCCATTTCCATTTCCACCATATTCAATTCAAAATGACTTTATGAAAAATTTGTACTCATGCCTGGAAAAAGGAAATCTAGGAATTTTTGAAAGTCCAACGGGTACTGGTAAATCACTGTCAATAATCTGCGGAGCTCTGAAATGGCTCACAGATCATGAAAAAAATAAAAAAGACATTTTGGATAAACAACTTGCGGATTTAAACGCCAGGTTGAAAGAAATTAGCGAAGAGTCTAAGGGTGACTGGTTTGTAGAGCAGACTAAGCAGATTAAAGTAAATGCTGAGCGACAAACTATCCAGGACAAGTTGGATGCTCTGGCACGTAGAGAAGAACGTATGAATAAATTCAAAGAGACAGTTAAGCAAAATAATAATACGAAGAAGCGTCAGTGGAAGGTTAGTAAGAATAAAAATAATTCTAAAGATGAAAAGCAACAAGATACTCCAAATCAAGATGCTGAAGATATTGATACTGATCTTCTACTGGATGATTTACATTTAAATTCAGACTCAGATGATGAAGAAACGGCTGCCGAGACTAATAAATACACGCAATTCTTCTTTTGCTCAAGAACTCATTCGCAATTAACTCAATTTGTTGGAGAAATAAAGAAAAGTCCTTATTCTGCAGAGGTTTCTTTGGTTCCATTAGCTTCTAGGTAGCATTTTTTTTTTTTTTTTTTATTTTTAATATTGATAATTTATAGTTAATTTTTTGCAGACAAAATTATTGTATAAATAAAGCCGTTCAAAGACTGGGTCATGTTAATTTAATTAACGACCGATGTTTGCAAATGCAAAAAAAAAAGGTAACTGTTAAAAAAGAAAAAGATGTAAAGAGATCTAAAACTGGAACGAGCTGTCCATTCAATCCTGGTGACCAGTCATTGCTGATTGCTGATATTATTACGACAATACAAGATGTCGAGGAGATTGCTGAGACTGCGAAGCAATTGGAAACCTGTGCTTATTATGCGTCCAGACGGTCCTTACCTGATAGTCAGGTTATTCTAGTGCCTTACAACAGTATTTTACATAAAAATACCAGAATTAGCTCGGGGATTGATTTGAAAAATAATGTTTTGATTATTGATGAGGCTCATAATCTTTTAGAAGCCATTGAAAATATGTACAGTTCGACATTAACTGGTAGACACATTTTACATTGTTTCAGTCAGCTTACTCAGTACCAAAAGAGGTAATTCATTTTTTAAATTATTTATCTGACTTGAAATATTTAAAAATTAAAACTAATTGATTAAATTTTACAGATTTGAAAAACTTTTCTCAGCAAAAAATGTTTTGTACCTCAGTCAATTAAGTTTTTGTTTAAAAAAACTAATAAAAGTACTTGGAGGTACTTCAAGATCACAATCGAATGATAAAGTTAATACCGAAGTACAGTCAGCCATTTATTCTATAGAAAAATTTGAGTCAGTTGCTGAGATAGATACTGTAAATGTGTTTGAGCTTTTGCAATTTATAAATGCGTCTAAATTAATTCATAAGCTTCGTGGGTACGTTGAAAAGTACAGCGGAGATTTAAAAGTACGTCCCGTGACGAAGAAGCCAACTGGAGTGTCGGCATTTCTAAACACACTCCAGGGGAAAGAAACCACGGAAACTGAGACTGAGAGTAAAGAAAATAAGGAAGATGTATGTGATAATCCGTTGATATTTATCATCAGCTTTCTGGAGTCGCTAAAGAGCAAAAGCGCAGATGGAAGAATTTTCATAAATCCCGGCCCTACAGTAGGTCAAGGTACAATTAAATTTTTGTTGATGAATCCTGCTGCACATTTTCATGATATTGTTAAAGAAGCAAGGTCAGTTATTCTCGCTGGCGGTACAATGGAACCGATTTCGGAATTTAGAGATCAATTGTTTATTAGCGCTGGTGCTGAACCCGAGCGTATTGTTACTTTTTCATGTGACCATGTTATACCGAAGGAAAATATTATTACGAGGATAGTAACCCAAGGACCCACGGGAGTTAAATTTGAATTTAATTATCAAAATAGAGAAAATAAAGAACTGCTTAACGAACTGGGTAGAACTCTCAAGAATTTATGTAATATCATTCCCGGCGGAGTTGTTGTTTTTCTTCCGTCTTACAGTTATGAAGCATCCCTGTATAAGCATTTGGAAGTTACTGGAGTAGTGGCTAAAATTTCCGGAAAAAAAAAAATATTTCGTGAACCTAAGCTTGCATCTCAGGTAAACGCAATTCTTGACAGCTTCGCGGATACTGTGAAAAAACCAACAGCTCCACAAAATGGTGCTATTTTGTTCAGCGTCGTCGGGGGAAAGCTCAGTGAAGGATTGAACTTTTCTGATGACCTAGGACGATGTGTAATTGTTGTTGGTATGCCTTATCCGAATATCAAGTCGTTGGAGCTTCAGGAAAAAATTAAATATCTTAATGAAAATGTTAAACCCGGCGCTGGTAATGAGTACTATGAAAATTCTTGCATGAAAGCTGTCAATCAGTGTATTGGTCGGGCTGTAAGACATATCAACGATTACTCTACTGTTATTTTACTCGACAGAAGATTTTCCAATAAAACAAAGTCACTCCCGGGATGGATTCAACGAACATTAGAAGTTCATAATACTTTCAACAGTACAATTGGCGATGTTGCTAAATTTTTTACAGCGAAAAAGAAAAAAATTTAATTTTTTACAGTAAATATTTTTTATATTTTTGTAATAAAAAAAAAAATTATCCAACATTTGAATTAAACATCATTATTTTTTTTACATTTAAATCTTTTTATTTAGTTTTTTCTCTTTAAATGATTACACTTTAAATGAATATTAAAATGGAAAAGAAATTTGTTCATTAATGATTAGAATGTATGAGTATCCTTGGAAATTACAAAAAAAATTTTCAACTTGTTAATTCTTTTGTATAAAATATTTCTTTAGCTCATTCAAAAATTTTTCTAAAGATACTGTATTATTATTTTTTTTTTAATACTAATATATACCTAATAATCTTAAGTTGAAAAAAATACATGGATTTTAACCAAATAATGAATTAATTCATTCACTTTTATATTTTATATAATACTTTTCAATTAAATTCATCATTTCTTTTCTCCGTAAATACTGTCTTTCTCTTTGTTTTATTAAAAATAACTAAAAAAATTTAAAAAAAAAAAAAATAAAAACTCGTTCTGTTCGCTTGAAATTTCAAAAAGATTGTTTTTTTTTAATTTAAATTAATCAATTATTTATTGTTTGATAATATATGTGAATCCGATGCATCGATTTATACATTAATTTTTTTAAGGCGCATTCCAAAGCAGTCATTATTACATATATCAATTTATATTTAATATATATATATATATATTTTTAAATGAAAATGATGTATTTTTATCTATTTTCATTATTATAGTTAAAAATACATGTGGAACACATTGCACTTAACGGTTTAACAATTTATTTCCTTAAGATCTAGGCAGTTTATATAAATTTAATAAGTCATCTCATTGATTTTCTTAATAAATTTATCTGCTGAGTACGAATATAATTGCCACATTTCATTCATTTTAGAACCGTAAAGTTTCAATTTTATCTTTCTGTTTCGCTGATCAAAGAGGGTAATAATAACAATATAAGCATTGTCGCTAATTTTATCGATATTTGCGAACATGACACTTAATTCTCCTTTTAATTAATTAAATGATTTTTTTTTCTTTTTCCTATGAAATTAACTGCTTAAAATTTGGTCGTTAATGATAAACTTTGAAGAAAAATAAAACGTTTTTTGGGCTAAGTCGTTGACTAATTTTTTTCCAGGAAACTTATTGATTATTTACTAAATTAATGTATTTATTTATATTACAGCAAAAAATCTAATAAGAATATTTTGTTATTGCATGGGTGCAAATTAACAGAGTGAGGCTTCATGGTGAGGCTTTGTTTTGTATTTTCTTTTTTAATCAACGTTATTTTATTCATTTTTCATGAAGTAATATTATTACTATTATTATTAGTATTACCATTAGTAGTAGTATTATTATTACTATTAATAATCACTCGGCACATTCACACTTTCATCATCCTCTTTTTAAACTTTTGTCTGTTTAATCAATTAATTTATTAATATTATTATATTTTTTGTTATCATACAGAGAAATTGCAATTAAGTCTTTTTGAGTATTTAAAAAATTAATAATTACTATATATTTATATAAATCGATTGACGATTTTAAATAGACTACGTTAATATTTTTTAATAATTTGTTTGTTTCTTAAAGTATAAAAAAAATAATAAATATAGCTTAGACTAGCACTTTTGGCAAATAAATGCCATTACACAACAATTTTACATCGTTAGCTGCATCGCATATCCAATTATATTATAATTATTCATTTGTTAGCACTATCACCGGATTAATGGTTATAATAATAATAAGAATCTTTAAAAATCAATTACTTTAAATAATTCACTTATAAATCAATTATCAATTTACTTTTTTTTTTTTTTTTTTTTTTATTTTTCATACTCTCTTTAAACTTTATAAGTTTCGATTATTATGGAAGCATTTTTGTTTAAATGATTTCATTCATTATTATTTGTTATTTTTGTTTTATCTCTTTTACACATTTATAATTTAAGTACACGATACTAGCACCGCAAATTATTTTGTACAGCTGATACGGGAATCGTTTGATCGCTAACTAAAAATTTCTAAGGTTTCTTAACAACTTTCATTTAGCAAACTTTAGGAGGGAATTCATAAAATAATTATTTGAGATTAAAAAATAAACTTGAAAAATTCTATGCCTGTTATTTTTTACAATTTTAATTGTGCTAACTGGTTTGTTTACAGACTATGTTTTAACACAGTCTTGTATAAATGTTCGATGATGCTTTTTCGTGTAAAGTAATTATCCTTACACGATTCTTTTTCAATTATTAAAATTTGTCATATCCCTCCGATTTAATTGTATTAATTTTACTTCTCGTTAAATTTTTATATACACTCCGATGTATTATAAAATACTGATAATCATTCTGAGATAATTCTCTGCTTTTTTATAATCACACGTACATGATGAGAGAATGTTTTTTGATTTTAAAAACCAAATTTATAATTAATTAAATTATAAATATAATAAATCAATTCGATACATCAAAGAAAAAATAATTAAAAATATTCACATAGGAATGATTAATCGTTAAATAATTATAAAAATTTTTTGTTTGTTTTTAAATAGTACGGAATGTTAAAAGGAATCATCAAAGATTTAGTCTCATTAAAAACTGTGCTTAAATGCTGTTATTTGACTTGTTTACTTATAATAAAAATAAAAAATATTCATTTTAAAAAAAGTCTCGTATTTGCACAACCCTACTTGCGTGGAATGTAAATTATAAATTTGATTATTTTTTTTTTTTTTTAATTACTATTCTATCAATATCTATGGCTATTAAAATTTAATTAAATTCCATAGAACATTTTTTAATAGTGATCAGTGAAATAAGAGGCAGTGTTAAATAACTCCACCATAAATTCAAATAATTTCATTAATAACTTATTCACATTCACTCTTTTTTTTTTCTCGTTCACTGACAAGTGTAGATCACATATACGTCCTTTAAATAATTAAGTACATATTGTAGCAATTTAGCGCATTTAAATGAGCCAATGCTATGATAAAAATTCACGTTCGAGTTCTGATATACTTGATTTACGATTTCTACTATTGTGTCTTCGTGATGATTGTAGCGGTGACGTAACTGCCTCTGATCCCTGAGCATGAATCGGTATGTCGAGTAACGCATCGCGGTGATCCCGTGATGATGATAAACTGTCACGGTCGCGATCACGGTCAAATGTTACAGGTGAAAAACGTACACGACTCATTGATATTTGACTATCTTTCGCTGACACATAACTCGAGTCTTCAGACGTCAACGAATCAGGTGGTGTTGGATTCGTCGGAGTACCCGACCCAGAGTTATTTTTGCTCGTACTCTTCGGTGAATTGTACGAATAATTAGATCTCTTTAAGCTTGAGCGTAGCCTAGTGACGACTTCAAGATTACTGGGGCGATCACTTGAGTTTGGGTTTGAGTCGTGCGAATTTTGTCGTGTCAGGTACTGAGGTGACGCGGTATAATCATGGTTAACACCAGTGTAACTTAATCCGATATTGCTGAGTACATTTTGTGACCTCTGGTAGTAATGCGTTGGTGAATACAGTGCGTAGTCAGACTCGTCGTCCAGTCGGAATGATGGATTTATGTTGCTTTGACTCGATGTACTGGTTGTTGAGACATTTGACGACGTACGATGGTGAGTGTAATTAGGTAATCGCGATGATGTTCTTACTAAACTATTAATGGTACTTGGATTGTCGTATGCATGAGGAAATTCAGGACACTCTAACATCCTGTCACTAAAACAAATTATTTTATTCAATTTTTATTAGTAAAAATTTTATTAGAAAATGTTCTAGCTTAGTAAAGCTTCGACTTTTAACTGGAGCTAAATCATTTTCAAATGTATTTAATAATGCATGGTCTTATTTCTATTTAAATCTTTTTTTTTTTTTTTCTTTTCTTTTAATATAAACCTCTAAAATCAGGTGAAAAGATCAATTTTTTTTTTTTCATCGACTGAAGTTGTCAGTAATAATATAAATTTGGGACTATGTATTGATGGACTGTTCGAAGTATTTTATTACTATTTTATTGTAGTGTAAATCCATATGTTTGGTGTTTTTTAAGGCAGTATTTTACTTTAAAACTTACAAAAAATCGAATTTTTTTTTTTTTTTTTAATTTTGAGAAAGTAAATATAGTCTTTCAAAATTTTAAATCAATTTAAGAAGTTTAAATGTACTTTTTCTTGCGTCAAGCTAACTATATGGGCACGCAGGTTTTAAAAAACTTTAAACACATTTCTCTCGAAACTATTTTTTTACACTGCTTAGTGGCTAAAATTTCAAAATTTACTGACACGATTGTTCTGACATTTTGACCACATATTCTGTATAAATGCATCAAGCGGCTGAAATATGATTATTTATTTATTTATTCATTTTTTTTCTTAAGCAAAAGCCATTATGTTAATTTTGTATGTAAATTGATAATTCTATTTCAACCAATTTTTTTTTTTTTTTATACATTCACTAAGCTTACATCAAGCTTACAAGAAGCAATAAATGCCACACCAATATCTTTATTCATTATCTCATGAATAAATAATATTTAACCCAAGCTATTTGTCTTTTCACTTGATTTAAAAAATTTATACTTGTTATATATAATGTAACTAATTAATTTATAACGAAAAATAATACATACTGATAATCTGTAGGATTGAAGTAACTAGACTCAGGTGGTCTATAATACTCCGGAGGCATCATGGTGTACATTGGTGGCCCGTAATCAGGATAAGGCGGTACATTACCCATATAAATAGTGGGTACCCTTTCTATTCTATCCATACGTGCATTATCTGCTGAATAAGCTTCTTCATTACTTGTACTCGAGCTTTTACGTCTTGGACTCGGTGTGGGTACATTCGAGCCAGTATTCCCCGCGTAATGCTGTGGCGAATCCGTAAACCGAAGAGGTTTATCGATTATATTTAAAGGAAGACCTGGAGCAATACCACCCATGTTGCTTAAAAATGGCCTGAAATTTATTATTTAGTAATAAATTAAAATTATTTTTATTTAATTTTTATAAAAATAGTATTATTAATCTAGATACCTGTAATGTCTCGCTGGACCATGATAGGTATTATGCGGATAACCGCTGGGTGAACTGAACTCATAGTCAGCTCCGAGGTACCCCGAGTTACGATTGGACCCGGTGTCAGCTTGGAACCAGTATCGACCCGGTTCTTCTTCGCCGTCAGTAACTCTCGGATACAATCGTGGATGAATTGGCGACACATTTGACATTTTAACGTCATAGCCGGTGGCAACACCAGCCAGCATCGCTGCTATATTATAAAGTACCAGTTCAATTATTCCTGGCTTTGGTTTTTTAGCTTCTCCATTGTAGAGCGTTGGCATTGGTACAGGCATTGGCATTACGTAAGGACCAGTCAGTCCTGGTTTTGGTGGGTACTCCATCGTCATCCACTCCGAAGACATGTCCGCCGGCAGCGTCGGGTAATCTTAAAAAACAATTTTTTTCTTATTATTTTACACAATTTATTTTTATTATTTGTTTATGGAAACAGTTAATGCATTGTTATTTTTATTTTACACACGGATAGCTTTGTTGCATTTGTTTTTCGTCGTCTTACCTTGCCTGAAGATTTAATTATAGTAAATAAAATTAATAAATCATTTAAAAAATGCTAATGCTAAGCAATAATTATCGCAGCTCATTGATTTTTTTCATGCAGTGTAAAAATTTTACATGCAAATATTATAGGAAGATTTAATTTTTAAAAATAAAATAAATAATAAGTATACTTTGTATAGATGAATTGTCTTCTTGCCCACGGTACACCATTATTATTTACAAATTTTTTGGCTTTCCTCAGCTCATAATTCATCAATAATAATAATAGGACGTAAACTATGAAAATCCATCTAAATTATTCGTCGAGGACCCGAAAATTATTTTCAAAAAAATTATTCATAAGTAAATAAATGAAGGAACCAAAGACCATTGCTGTTAGGATACTACTGGATTTACATGCAAGGATTTTTTACGCTCGGCTTTTAATTTAAAAATTACTACTATTCTAAAAGAAGCTTTACTCAAACAAACAAACAAAGTGAAATAAAAGCTCCGAGCGTAAAAGTTAAAGAAAAAAAAAAACTAAAAACAAAATTCAACGTGTAAAACTGAAAGCTTTTATTGAAAAAAAAGTTTCTATTTCTAAATACAAGTGTGTGCGTGTATCTTCCTCTATTCATTCTTTTTCGTGTGCGCTTAATTCTCTTTCTTTTTATTTTTAAATAATCTACGTGTTTGAACAAGTTTTTAATTAATTATTAACAATTACTAAAATCCATCTCTTTTATTTCTAGATAAAAAAGCATCAATAAAGTCTATTTTTTAAAACTAAAGTACGAAATTGGCTAGTCTTCATAATGAGCGAAACGCTTTATTTTTTATATGTTTCTTATTAAAAAATTAGCAGATAGTTAGATCGTTTTTGTTAGAACTGTAGTTATTAATTTTAATTCAAATTATTATTCTTATTATTATTAATTTTATTACTATTATTATTATTATTATTATTATTATGATTATTATTATTATTATTATTAAATTATTGTATTTCTACTATAATAAAAACAAAAGAGAACCAACACCAAAGATACTTTTAATTGCATTTGTCTTCATTTATCGCATCATTATTATAATTATTAATTTACAATTTTAGTGGCACGACTTATAATTCAAAAATTATGGCAATTACATAATAGTTTTTATAATTTAATTTCCCTATTATGTACTTTTATCTTGGCATTTATTAACTAACACAATTGGTTAACACAGTGACTTGTCGCTTAACATAAAAACTTAATTTTAAACATGGTCCCTCATCAAATTTTCATATTGGGTATTTTTAATTTAATTATTGCTGTTGCTTTTAATAATTATCAATAAATCGGCAAATACGTGATGAACGAGAGTCTATAGATAATAATAATATACAATAAAATAAGAAAAAAAAGAATTATTATTCAAAGTTTGAATGACACAAATGGATGTGCGATGCTAGTATACTAAATACGTAACGTCAAAGCCTCGTAATGAAAGATTTAAAATAAATGGCAATGGCAAAAGAAAATATTTTATCTTTACATGCAATTAAATGCTATCGACATTATTATATATAATATAATGCATAGTAATAATATTTATATGTATACTAAAAAATAATTATTAATTTTTATATATAAAAATGGTAATGATAAGTATATGCATAAAAATTTCAATTAATTTTTATCTTTAACTAGAAAACAAGGATACAGAGATCATTTGTTTAGTTGTTTTGTTGTTTATTTATTAAAAAATAATTCTCTCTTACGCCAAATGACTTTTTAAAGTGTGTGTCGACTCTAATATGAATATTGAATGAGAATTTTTTAAAAATAAATCACTAGTGTGATAAAAAAGAAACAGACTTACGAATAGATTGGATGTTTTCCTCAGAAAGGCCTGCGGTTAAGAGAATTTATTAACTCATTTTGTTCATTTATTTATTTATTTCGTTCTATTAATTCTATTGTTAAATATGATAATTAAAAAAAGAAAAACAACGTTTTAAAAAGTCAAACAAAATAGTAATAATTAATTAAAAAAAAATAGGAATTATGATTTTTAATTAATCAGAACTGCTATCGGAACTTTTACGCGAGCGAGAAAATTTTCGAATTTCTTCCGACGGTATATTGTTACTGTTAGAATTTAAATTGCTAATTGAGTTTGAGGAAGAAGAAGACGTTGGTTGATGCGACGAGTCGAATAGATATTCAATACTACGTGATTTACCGTCGTCATTGTGTAATTGGCTGTTTTGTTTGTTAGTACTCACTGATAACGCAGTTTCTGAATTACCAAATGACTGATTGGCGGTAGATGTTGTCGGTGTACTGTCTAATGACAACCTAGGTCCATTTGATCTTAAGTCATTGAGAAATTTCAAGGAGTTATTTGACCTAGAGTTTGAATTTTCAGAATTAAGATTCGTCAAATCAACTTCGTATTGTTCAAAATCAATCCCCTTGCGTGAATTAGCGGTCAAAAATTCCGGTGTATCCTTATTGTGAATCTTAATATTATTATTATCATTATTACTATTAATATTAATATTTTTATGACTATTATAACTATCATTATTACTTAAGCCCTTATTCAATAATTCAGTACTTAAAAGTGTGGGAATTGATACAGCATTATCGAGAACATTGTATTCAACTTTAACCGTCGGTGATGATTTATTGTCTAATGTGTCACGACTACCCCAAGCGCGCATTTTATGTAGCACCCTCAAAGGTGATTTCGAGCTACGTGACTTATGACGAACAGATTTGGTAATTGAATTCTCAGGACTAGATTCAATGCCGCCAGCACCGCTGCAATCGGCGCTACTCGATTTACGGGTGCTTGAAGAAGCTAATGCCTGTGAATTTTTTTTTTCAGAGGCAAGTGAACTTTTACGTGAACTAGTGGGTGATCTGAAAAATTCAGCTAATGAATTTAACCTAGATTCCGAGCTATCACGACGTTTAAATTCTTTAGATTTACTGCGATCACGTTTTTTATTTCTTACGCGTTTAGCAGTACCAACAAGAGTCGACGCGACATTATGTACAAAATTTGTTGAATTTACAGATTGTTCCGCTGAGGAAGGAGACTCTAATTGTTTGCCAGCCGAAGATTTTACAGCGCATGACGAAGACGAAGAAAGAAAAGCCGACGCTGAATCTGAAGGGACCAGAGTAGACGTTGACGATACTGACGACGTCGGGGAAGATATGTCATAATAATTGTAAGCTAGTGCCCCTATTCCGACACCTACAAGTGGTGTACGATTTATTTGTTGAGTGAGAGTATCTCTCAAGTCATCATATGCCGTCTCATACGTATCCATCTGAGTTGCGGTGTTAATATTATTACTATTATTGTTTTTAATAATGTTTGACCCTCTCAACCCGGACATTGTGACGCAACTAGATTGTCCACCACCAAGAGCACACGAGGAAGAGGACGTCATTGTTAAATCATCATCATTAGTTATGATCCTCATTAGCTCGTAGTCACTCGCGGCGCCAGAACGTTCCTGATCGTCGATCAAATTATTTGCTGACGAGTACAACTTTCTGGTGGTTGGGTTACCTATTTCTTGTAGCAACGGTGATCGTTGGGCGCTTGCCAGTAGTGCGGTACGAAGAGGAGTCTTTTCAAGATCCGGAGCAGATCGCGACCAACGTTTGCCACCTGGTGATGAAGGATTTGGTGGTTGAGTGATTATTGCGCCACGCTCGCGCTGATGTAGTGTTGACGGACCCCACGTTTTACCCTTAACTCCGTCGGCCGGTACTATAACGGGCAGAACAAAAACAAAAAAACAAAACACTACTCACTACTTGTTTCTAACTACATTCGTTAAGCACGGTGTTCAATTGTTTTTCAAAATAATTAAATAATCAAAAATTATACGATAGCTGGTGACATGTGAAAAACCGTGCGTAACGAACTAATTAACTTAAATAAATAAATTATAAAAAAAGTAACATGAAAAAAAAAAAAAAAAAAACAAAAAAAACAAAAAAAAAACAAAGATGAAAAAATTTTAATTTCAAACCATAACAAACATTCATTTCTAAAAAAAAATTAGTACGATAGGCAGTATACAGGACAAAGTTCAATTTTATTTCACACCATGCCTCAAAATAAATGCCTTCGTACAAATGTAATAAGTGACTGGAGAATTTAATAAATTAAATATAATTTCATTGTAATAGAATTCAAATTTCAAACGAATCTACTGAAGCATTTGTTGAATAGTGATCATTTTAAATGACTGCTCTTCTTATTTTATTGAATAAATATGAGAAAAAATTGAATAATAATGAAAAGATACGAGTAGCTAAATTTAAAATAAACTCACAAGCTATCGCTCGAAGTCGGGGAATACTCGGTGAGCCCGGAGGGCTATTTGGTCTCGATGGGTTTCGATTTTTTCCTCTATCAAGAGCTGTATGTTGAACAGTTATTGTGTGACGAAAGTCTGAAATTGAATAATTACAAGTTTTAATATACAATAAAAAAATAAATTATAAAACTCTATTATAAAACTCCTAACTTAATATTTTCTTTTCTTATATTACTACTTTGATTTTGTTTTTATTATTCATGTAAACTCAGCATTATTTTTTATGTAATCTTATATTCTGGCCGTTAGGAGACTCAGTTTTAAATAAATTATTATTACAATTACAATTAATAAAGTACCTGAAGGTGCACTGATATTACTACCCGGTTCCTTCTTGTTAAGTTTTAATCTAGATTTTTTGAACTTTCCTTTCCTCATGTTAGGCGTAGGAACAGTTTGCTGCTGGATTATCATCACAGTAAGCTCTCGTTCTAATAAATCAATCTCGCGAGCTGCTAACTCTTGCTCCCGCTGCCGAAGATTCTCTTCCTGTTGTTTCTGCTGCACTTGAGCTTTTGACAGTTCTTCTTCTCTGCAGCGCAACTCCTGAAAATAAATAACGATAAATGATTTTTTTAGTTTTCAATAAAAATATCAACTTGAAATATCAAGAAAGTTAAGCATTTTGAAACAAAATTGCGATAAATTCATAATAAGACTTACTTCTTCGAGAGAACGGCATGCCTTTGATAGCATTAGACAAAATATTACAAATTTACATTATAGATATTTTATCATTTTTTACGGTTTATTAAAACACAATAAATATAATATTATATTCATACCTTTTCCTTCATGCGCAACCCATGAAGAACCTCTTCAATTTCAAGTCTCCAATCTTCTTGCATTGTATGAAACGACTCGTGAGGTGTTGCTGCAAATGAACTTCTTACTTCGTCCAGTAAATCAAGGATTTCTATGAAACCCGGACGTCCGTGACTATCAGACGCCCAACAACCTACAAATGAATTTATGTTTAAAAAGGAGTCAACTAATACCACTGTAAATTGATATGATGAAAAATTTAACATTAATAAACCTATGGAGTAAACTCGAATAGCTAAGCGTAATTTCGGAAATAATTATTTGATATATAAACAAAAGTCATACCTAATCCATAACTAATATTATCGGATAACATCAAAGAATACATAATTACATTTTAGTAAATCTTTGAATTGCTTAAAGCGCTTTATCAAATTATTTCTTGAGTATTGAAATGTTTGTTCAATTTTAATAATCCATCTAGTTTAATTTTTCTGCATTTATGAAAATTTTATTACTTTATCAGACAAAATTTGATGAACGCATGTGAATCTAATTAAAATAATATATTATATAAAATATTATAAAAAATGTAGATAATATTAAAAAATTTGATAAAACAACAAAACAATATTGATAACCAAACTGATGTTTTAGAATAAAATTTTTAAATGTCGATAATTTTACTACTATTTCATTATGACTATTATTGTATCGTTTACTATATTTATTTGAATATTTATCTTCTTTAATAGTTGTCCAACTCGGGAAATTTTTATTACATTATGTGACATTTATCTTCATTTTCAAACGATTAGTAAAAAAAATAAAATACTATTTTAACTATTTATCATGTGTTATGATAAATAGTTAGAAAACAATGTAGTATTTTTTTGATTAAACATACGATAGGAAATCAAATGTCACGTAATACACAAAAATTTATCAAATACTATTAACATTTATACTGAAAAAAATGTTTTAAATTTCAAGTAAACGTGATAAATATAACGATAAAATAGAATTACTGTTACATAATAGTAAAATTGGTGATAAGAAATTCAATGAAACGATTGTAATTAACTCTCATCCTATAAAATCGATCGATTATCAGTGTTTTAGTAATTATCCGGATTAAATTTTCTCTTTATACTATGTATTGATTTAATCTAATTCCTCTTCCATTGCAAAGTCTAAAGAGAATTTATTGATCAGTACGTACTTTCCATGAGGAATCTCCAAGGTTGTGGACACGTTGAAGGAATAGGTAGAGTTAACTTATTGACAGCAACTCCGTAAGCTACAGCCAATGCATCTATACCTTTATACGGTACTTCACCAGTTAAAAGTTCCCATAAAAGTACACCATAGCTATTAAATGAATAATTTAATTACAAATTTACTGTACTCAAAATCAAATTAATGAAAAAAATAAAAATTTATAAAACCAATTTACCTCCATACATCACTGGCTTTACTAAAAGTACTCTGCTTAATGACTTCTGGAGCCATCCACGCGTACGTTCCCGCAGCAGACATACGAGTTGTTTTGTAAACTTCACGTGCTAATCCAAAATCCGTTATCTTCAGAGTTTTATACTGAAGATCATCGTTTTCGATTGGCTCGCTCAACAGCACTATTATTTAAAGAAACAATAAACTATTAAAATCATTTTTTATAAAACTATTTCAAAAGGTTTTATAATTATAATTATTATTATTATTATTATTACCATTAGAACTTTTAAGATCTCTGTGAATAAGACTAATGGGTGCTTTGTTATGAAGGTAATCCATTCCTCGCGCAATTTGTATAGCCCAATCCACAAGTACATCAGGTCGTATTTTACGACCATTGAGAACCCTATTTAGACTACCACCACGAGCATACTCCATTACCAAACACATATTCGGTTCTTTTAAACAAACACCTTCTAATTGAACAATATTCTCATGTTCTAACAACCAAAATAGTTTGGCCTCTTGTAGAACATTTTCTTTTATCACACTGATTTCTTCATCTGGATCTTGTCGTGCTGCTTTTACTGCAACTTCGTGTTTCCTCCAATACCCTCTTTAAGAAAAATAACACATAAATAATGCAATTACTGTTTATTAATAATTAATCTTAATAAACTAATTTTTAAACAAACAACGGAAATTTACCTATACACTTTACCAAATCCACCGACTCCAATAACCTCCTCCAACTGCAGCTCATTAAAATCAATCTCAACAGGCTGAACTTTATCAATCACCGACGACACCCTGTCGATGCACTCAGCTTCAGCGACGAAATTTGCTGGGAAAATTCCCACCTGTCCTCGGATTTTACCCGTCCACCAGCCCTCGTCGCCGGATATTTTGGAGTCTTTCGACAGAACTTCAACTGTTTCACCTCGTTGCAAAGATAATTCATCTTCGCAGGTCGCATTGTAGTCAAACAATGCCGTAAACAATGTCGCGCTGTTATCCTGTCGCGAGTGGGACGACGAGAGAGTAGCGTGAGATGGACTTGTTTGTTGAGACACTGTTCTGGCTGTTCCACCGCTGTGTGTATCCGATACGCTGCTATCAGACATGTTGTTACTCGACGTACGTCCGTACGAATAACCGTAGCTGCAATAATCCAAATAATAAATACTTATAACTCCCTCCTTGTCACCAATAATAATTCAGTGTTAAATTAAATAACCAATTTTAGAGATTAAATTTATTATTTTTTATTGCTAATACCAATAACAAATCTAAAATATACAAACCTGACTGAATAGTTGTTATCTCTGGTAGCGTTATGATACCTTGGCGACGAAGTAGCAGTACTTGGTGTATTCGGCTGAGACGAGCCATTCTCTGTATATAACAAGTAGCGCTCGCTCCGATGACGAGCATCTGGTTGTCCGTTGTCCATCAATGTACACAAACCTTTTGCCGATAGCCCGGCTGGCGGCATATGGCTCAGCAGATTTTCTTCAAATATTTGTATTTAGATTTTCATTTAAGTATCTGGGCAGGTAAATAACATTTACTTTTCTTAACTCTTCGTTTTTTTCTATTTAAACATTATTCGGTACTGGTACTTCTATTATTGCTGTTGTTGTTGTTGTTGTTGTTGTTGCCGTCACTTTTGAGTTAAGAAAAGAAAGGCTTCAATGTAAATTTTGTTTACTCTTCTGTTTATTTTGTCAAGAGGTTCCTCATTTGCACAGCACAATTGCCACGTTTTAATAAATGCACAAAACTATTATTATAACAATCACAATCAGTTGAATTTCATTGCATATATTATCATAAAATAATATTTTAATAAACAATAACAAAAAAATTATGGAAAATATTTTAGTTAGTAATTGCAATTAAATTTTTATAAATTATTTGACTGTAATACTTAGCCCAGGATAAACATTTATATTTAAATTGCACAAATAAAAACTCCACGTAGAATAATTAAAATATTATTTTTTTTCTTTTTTTCAACAATGTGCCAATGTGAGTAGAAAATTTTTTTAGTTTATCTCTTGCTACCCCGTCTGCAAAAACAATTTGCGAGTTATTATGTCTTGGTTAATAATTGTCACGATAATAAAATAATTAATAATCACAATAGTCATAGTTATAAAAATAATAATATTTAGTAAAGTAAAATAAAAAAAAAATATAATGACACTAGAATAATAAACCACTGCACATTGATGATGATGATAAAAACCAGTAAGGAAACGTCGCGTCGTACAGTTTGATCCAGGGTGTGTAGCAGCTAGTAGCAGCAGCAACCAACATACAAGCCACTCTACTCTATGTTTACGCGGCCATTCGTCCTCTTATCACTGGGATTAAGTGACACGAGAATATCTTTCAAGGGATTTTGAGGAGCTTGGACGCCTCCCCGAGGACGAGGTGCTCCGAGTCCGCTCACGATAATCCCAATAAATCAGCATAAACCTTGTTTGAAATTCACTGGTACAATTTACGGCGATAACCTAGCGGACGCCATGTTCGATTTTACCAGATTTGACGGGCTCCACCGTTGACGTCCTACTATATGTGTATGTGTATATGGATATCTACAATCTATGTTTGTGGATGTAAACACACATATATGTATTAGTACATGTATATGGGTACAAGACAAATTCGCGACTCGTGCAGTGCAGTCCCCCTTTGCTCTCCACCGACCACCTACAACCTGATGATGATAGTACGGGCGACGACCGACTTAAAAAACACGTATTACAAGTTCATTTCCATGTATATAATCTACATTACCAACTTTTATTGTCGCTTCATGTGATTTTTTCTATTTTAATTTAATTTTCAATTTTTTTAAAAATCTGAAATTTATTAAAAAAATCACACTTAAAATATGAAAATAAAGTTTGCCGACATTTAAAAATTTTTAGAAATTTTTTGTTGAAAAAATTTCAATTAAACAATTAAAAAAAAAAATTGTCACATGTAAAAAACTTGAAAAACTATACGTGCAATTTTTTAATTTTTTATAAATATTTTTTTTTAACTGTAATTTAATTAATAAAAAAAATCAAAAATTTTTAGACGTCTGCTAACTTCAGTGTCATCTTAAAATTCATATTTATACAAAAACTATTTGTGAAAAATTAAAGAGTTAAAATTTATTATTAAAATGAAAAGTTTTCAGCCTTCTTATTTTCGTCATCTGAAAAAAGTATTAACTATTAATTAAGTAATTTTAAAATAATCTGAAATAGATCGATTAACTATGAGGGTTAAATTATAATTAATATAATTAATATTAGTTATTTTGTATTCAAACAAAAGAAAAAAAAAAGTTATTACATGAAAGATGCTTAGAAAATTTTAAACTATTAAATAATAATTATTTTTTTTTGTTTTTCTTTTAGTTAATGTTATTAATTACACGATCATTTCAAGTTCTCTCGCATAGTCAATAGCAAGTGTCACAAGTTCGGCACTAGGTATTGGCTCTTCAGATTTTTTCTCATGAGAAGTACTGAAGTTGAAACAACCATCCGGAGTAACTTTCCATCCTTTCTTGGTACCAAAAGCCAGTGTCTCTTTCTCACTGTTTAAGTTCAACATCCTTGATGCATCCTTCAGCGAAATTTTATCGTAGGCACTTTCCATACATGCTCCAATCTCATCGCGGACTGTATTGAGTAGTATGTCTATAAAGAAGTTGTATGAAGCCGCTGGCACGTTTCCTTTCGCCAAAAATATTTTATTGTAAGAGCCTTCCATTAAGCATTGCTCTAAACTCAACGGGTGTCGGATGTAAACATTTTTCTGGATTTGATCGGCTGGAAGTAACTCCAACTCTGTGTGAAACTCAGCGACTCTATTTTGTGACAGTAAAAATAGTAAATTTAATCCTAGTAATTGATACTTGTATGTTGATTCGGGTAGTGCTGTCTTGTAATCAAAGTAATAGCATTTTAATTGAGACATATAACGTTCAAAAGATGGAATATCCTCGGTTGCTATACTGTATTGAGCTCCTATTTCCAATATGTCACCTATGAAAATAAGATAATTCATCAATTGTCGACTCAATTACAATAAAATTTTTTATCAAATCGATACTGAGGGCCAGTTTTTTAATCCGGGATAAAATTTTATCCGAGGTAAAAGTACCGCCAATAAAATAAAAAAAAAAAAAAATAAATAATTTAGTGACATGATATTGCTCTCAATTATTTGGTCGTTTATTTAAATAAAAATAAATAAATATATCATAAAAATAATAATAACCTCTTATTGTGTCATTTAGATTATTTTAAATTAATTAACACAATTATAAATTAATAATAGATATGTCAAACGCAAGATATGAGCTCGAAGGGCTCAAAAGCATAGAACAGCTACCTCTGTGAGCTCATAAAGCTCAAAATAGCTCAACAACATTATAAATGCAATTTCAAGCGCTTAGGTATAGAATTAGAGGGAAGTTATAGGGATCTCCTTCAGGGTCATCCGTTTTCCTAATTTTTATTTTATTTATTTACAATCAGGAAGTTGTCACAGTTGGAGGTGAATATTTCTGTGAAATGTGGCTAATGTTTATTTATTTTAATTCAAAATAAGTGACTGAATTCAAGGAGAATTACTCGTAGGCAATATCACTGTGCTGAATTATTTATTTTTTTATCATAATGGCAGTACTTTTATCTCGAATAAAATTCTATCTCGGATTGAAAAACTGGCTCTGAGAGTAATATAATCGACTTTTAAAAAATCCTTTTCATAAAATTGCATTTACTTACGAGCTATAAGCAGTTCTTTTTGATTTGCTGGTGTATTTGAAGTCGGCAAAAACATTAAATGAGTTAATCCAACCTGAAAAAATTCAATTTATAATTATCACTAATGATTAATATGAAAAAATAATTAATTTAATTATTTATTTGTATATAAAAAGTGATGATGACAAACAACTTTATCAGATTGCTTGGTTAGGTTACCTGATAATTGTACTTATCAAGGCTAATAAAAATAATGACTGAATAAATAAAAATATTTACCTTTAATTGATTAAGTAAATCACCGGCTTTTTTTAAATCCCACGGCTGTTTAGACCATTCATTTTTCAAATTTTGATACAGAGAAACAATTTCTTTTAACGCTGCCATTTTTGTACAATCAATCAACTCTTGTTCTGACACACACTCACTTACAGTTTTCTGTAAATATAATTCCTATAGTCAAGTAGTCAAGTTATATATATCTCTCGTCGCTTTCTTGTAAATACATAAAGCTTAAGCAGCGAAAATAATTTTATGAACGACAAAAATAATATCTGAACGATTTGTATTGGTGTAATTTTGACAGAATTCCGTAATTCCGTTATTTGTCTTACCAATTCCTGATGAGCAAGCGCCAATTGAAAACAACTAATATAATCAAGATTTGTCACGTATTTTATTGATTTAAATTAACAAAAGTTAACGCAATAAAGTATATTATAAAATTAAACATCAGGCGAATATTAATAATTACTGATAATTGTTGCAAGTCAATCGCTAAGTAGACAATAGGGTATAAATAAAAAAATTGAAAGGCGTAATTGTGTATAGTAAAGTGTAGCCAAGGAAAAAGGTAGCACACGTTATAGTTGTTATAGTAGAGTAAGTAAAGTACCACTTGAATGGTGATCTCACATTGAGAGCATTCAGTGTTCAGTGTCATCCTTGCCGGTTTCAAACTTCCTCTTTCCGTAACACGATACAATGGCGTCTGGTGTAAGTTTAACCTGTGAATTATTTCAGCCTTTAACATCGGCTCGATTTTGCATCGAGATTGATGTGAGGCACGCTAATTATCAAGATAAATGTATGCTTTAATTAATAAAATAATCATTTTTTTAGACTCTGTACACTTATCCTGAAAATTTTCGGGCTTATAAAGTACTGATCGCGGCTCAATATTCAGGAGCTCAGATCAAGGTTGCTGAGAATTTTGTATTCGGTGACAGCAATAAGTCCAAAGAATTTCTTCAAAAATTCCCAGTGGGCAAGGTAACTATTTTCATTGATGATTTCTCACTTTAATTCACTGATATTACCTATTTCGTACATACTTATTAGTGTATTTATTCATTTTTGTAATTTTTATTTTTTTATGACGAAATTTATTTCTATATTACTGTACAGCATATGTTATACTATAATGGGTGCATATTTTTGGCAGTCATTTTTTTCGAGGTTAATGCTAGAATAAGTTGAGGCGGTTTTATTCTAAATACGTGAGATATTACAATAGCATTGATTTATTTTTAGGTACCAGCTTTTGAATCCAAGGATGGACTATGTCTCACAGAGAGCAATGCTATTGCTTACTATGGTACATATAATTATTAATATATACTAATTATATGAATTAAAAATTATTTAATTATTATTCATAACTTGGTTCATTTTGATTTATAGTGGCTAATGAACAGTTGAGAGGCAAGTCTGATAAAGAGAAAGCTGAAATTATTCAATGGCTCGATTTTGCTGACTCGGAAATTCTTCCTGCCAGCTGTGCCTGTGTATTCCCTCTTCTTGGAATTATGCCGTACAACAAACAGGTAATATTTAATTGTGATAATAACAATTATATATTCTCTAAGCAAAGACGAGATTAAATACCATGTTTGATTTCGTAACAAATGGAGATAAATAAAATGACAATAATGCAGAACTTTATGATGGATTAATCATGAAACGATTTGAATATTGCCAACAATTCTAAATATTATATTTTAAATAATGATTGAAAAAGAATAAAACTAATTTTTAACTTGATTTGTATTAGACGGTCGAGAATGCAAAAGAAGACATGGCTAGAGCTTTGAATGCTCTTAATACTCATCTTTTATCAAAGACATACTTGGTAGGAGAACGCATTACTCTTGCTGACATTAGTGTAGCCATGACATTGATGCATCTCTATCAATATGTCCTTGAGCCCAAGACTCGTCAGCCTTACCAGAATGTTAACAGATGGTTCCAAACTATCGTTAACCAACCACAAACTATTGCTGTTATTGGCAATTTCAAATTAGCTGATAAAGCTCTTGAGTATGATCCCAAGAAATTTGCCCAGGCTTTAGGAGGAAAGGTAATTTATTTTCTACTTTTGTTTAACTAAATATCCCTATATTATATGAATTTAATTTTTAATTGAAATTTTATTTAAAGGGTAAGAAGGAAAAGGAACAAAAAGAAAAGAAAGAACAGCCCAAGAAAGAGCAAAAGAAACCGGAAGGACCAGCTGAGGAACCCGATGCGGCTGAAGCAGCTCTTGCAGCAGAGCCGAAATCATCAAATCCCTTCGATGCCATGCCAAAGGGTACTTTTGATATGGACGATTTTAAACGGTGCTACTCCAACGAAGATGAAAAGGTCTCAGTACCCTACTTCTGGGAAAAATTCGACCCAGAGCACTACAGTATCTGGTTTGGAGAGTACAAGTACAACCAAGAATTGACTAAAGTTTTCATGTCTTGCAATCTCATCTCTGGTATGTTCCAACGTCTTGATAAAATGCGTAAAGCTGCATTTGGTAGTTTTTGTCTATTTGGATCTGACAACAACAGTTCCATCAGTGGTGTCTTCATATGGCGTGGTCAGGAGCTTGCATTCCCGGTATGTTGCTACTAATCTACAAAATTTTGAACTATTAATTATTTACTAATTTAATTAATTATTACAGTTGAGTCCCGATTGGCAAGTAGATTACGAGTCATACACCTGGACAAAACTCGACCCAAAAGATCCTAAAACCAAGGAGACAGTCAACAACTATTTGTTTTGGACGGGTACCGACAAAGAAGGACGTAAATTCAACCAAGGAAAAATTTTCAAATGAAAATAAAATCCGTCTTACGCTTAAATTTCTACAATAAGATTTAATCACTTATTGACACTGAAATAAAAAATAAAAATTCATTTATAGCTTTTTACTCTTGTGTTGAACAAAAAAAAAAAATACGATCCTTTTTAAGTTTTCTCATGCTTTTAATAATAACTTTTACTACAAATGTATATTATTCATTTTTTTATTTTATCACAAACGGTAACAAAATTTTTGACATTTTAATTTATTTATTAAGCTATCTTGTTTAAAAAAAATACTTAAAACCCTTTTAGCTCCATCCAATCTTTAATACGTGATGCACAATCTCCTCGAAATTTAATTACTCCGGATGGTTCTATTATTTGCGTGCCCATCTCTTTGCCCATAACTTCCTCGAGGTATTTTTTTAAATCGGCTTCCAATGCCATTACATCTCCGCTGATGCGACGTAATACTGTTACTCTTCTCATACCTCGCTGTTTGCGCTTCAAGTAGACCGGCTGCATGTGATTCCTCGTCCTTGCTATGAAATAAGGAAGCTGTTTTGCTTCTTCTGTAATAAAATAATGATAAGTAAGTAACACGAATTATTTAGACCATGAAAGATGGAGTAATTAAAAACAAAACAAAAAAAAAACCTTTTGCTGGTTTCCATCCAGATGCCAATGGCTTGGTGATATTTTTCGGTGAGTCTGGTACACGTGTACTTGGTAAATAATGTTCAACCCATTTCCATTCTTCTGGATCTTTAGTTACTTCGAAGTCTGTGTAATTAATATTTTCACTGTATTGTGGTGAGGATTTGAAACTCGCCCATCGCTTTGATATCTGAAAAAAAAAAAAAAATAATAATAAATAAATAAATAATAAATTTATACTTTAGACATGAATAAAAAAAAAACTAGATAAAAATAAAAATAAGAACGTTAGGTTAAAAATAAAAAGTCAAAGTGAATGGATTTATATTAAAACGTGAATGTATTTTATATTTGCGCAATATTAAATAGCTCTATATAATATATATTTATATACGTAAAACTATTTTATAATCTAAATAATAGTATAAAGAATGCAACTAGGAACAAAAGTGGCTCATACAAAAGGGCAGTGGTAGCGTGTGAAAGCTAAAAATATCTAGAAAGTATACTACACTAGATCTCTCTAAGGGTTTTTGCCGTAAGTCCCTTTCACGCGAAATCCGGCATGACTTGTTATAAATAAAAAAAAAAAATAATCTAACCATAAAATAAAAAACATTTCGTACTGTTATTGTTCAATCTAACAAAATTTTAAATAGATTAGTTTTTTAACTAGCATACCTGATTAGCTGTCAGTGGGAGCAATTGTTTAGTTAAACTGTAGCAGTGTAAATTGTTGTTAAAAGTAATAATAGATCGTGCGAAAAATTTAAGGGCCGCCATTTTGAGTTGAAATGAGAAATATAATAAGGGTCGGTGTCCGCCATTGGGTGCGCACGGGCGCGTCTTCCTTCACTACTACTTGGTACTAGCGTGCATTACAATTTTTAACATTGACGTAGTTTATTTTAATATTTATTCTCGTGTGCTTAGAGTCTATACAATATTGTTGTAATAACACAAGTGTCATCATTCTCCTTGGTACTCTAGTGTCTTAAACATACATATAAATTATTATATATGCATATTTATTTATAAATAATTACTAAATATATGTATATATATATATATATGTATATTTAATAATAATATTAATAATAACAATAAAAATAGTATCTGAAAAATAAGTAAATTAAAAGGAATCGAAAGAAAATGTAATATATATTACATGTTACAATATTAAAAAGTACATACAGCCACAACTGCTAGTAATAGTTAACAGTGTACTGTACAGGAATTTATTGCCAAACGAAACGTAGGGACTGGTACGGAAAGTGCCGCGTTGTTCTGTCGTGTTAATATAATCGTGGGCCCTTGGTTTCTTTGTCATCCGGTTTATCAAAACTATCTGAAAAAAAAAAAGTATATAAATTAAGATTTAGTCATTAACTGACAACTAATAAAACAAATTGAAAATTCAGATACAAGAGAGAAGTTTATCGCGGGCGTGAGTTGGGGTTAGTTGTCATTGGGGGTAAGACCGGGACTTGACCAGGGTTGATTTCCTCGAAATACATAAAGTATATCAGTGTGTGTGTCGCCCGTGTCCTCGTTTATTAACAACACGAACGGAATATGGACACGGGAGACATCGCTTACATCGTACCCACGAGCGTAAGATGGCGTTAGTGTTACGAAAATTCACTCACTAACAAACCAACACATAGATACATACATACAGGCGGATACTTGGTAGAGTAGGACCAGCATATAGACACCCTGAGAAAACGGGACTACTGTCTCTTTACCCATTATATATATCGTACCACGGGAATAATATTTTATTATTCCCATTTTTTAAACAAAATACCTCCATCTTACGGGAAAATTTTTTGTCTCATAGGTAAGTTTGATATTATTATTAACTTATTAGTATATTTTTATATTGTTTTATTAAATCTGTGAGCTGTAACAATGAGTTAAAAAAATTAAAGAAGCGAACCATCATTTTTTCCATACTATTTTATCGTCGTTGTACCAGTACTTGTAGTTGTGTACAGTATTTGTGGTAGTGCACTGTAATACTCAGCTCCACATTTATACATATATACATATATATATATATATTATATATATTTATATATGTATGTGTAAATGGATATGTACGACCTTTTGTTGTTTATTCGTGGCGATTTATCCGCAAGCTTTTATACAAGTATTTAAAATATTTAAAACAGATATTGTTTAATATTTTTAGGTGTCACTCGGATCATTGGTTATTGTTATTAATAATGGAATCATTTATTGGGTGGGTACATTGTGACTAAGCTGTGATATCATGCGAAATATTTTGGATGGCGCTTCTCACATTGCGCTTCAGAGTAGAAAGACCCGTCGGCAAGTCGTGCATACCGTAAACCATAGTATGTACTACTCATATATCCGTGTAAATGCAAACTTTGTCACGTAATTTTTTTACTTTTTTTTTTTTTTTTTTCGAGTTTTTTTTGCGCTGAGAAAATCCAGGGCCGCATCCTGTGGTGGCTCCACTATTCCACACAACCACAATTACTAGTACTAATAACAAACTACTACCATTGCTACTGAAAATATATGTATATTAAATATATATATATATATATATATGTACACTTGTAAGCTTTTAAAGACACGCGTCTCGTCTGACTTAAAAGTTATTCTCCTTCGGCTGTTAATGAAATTTTTTTTTTATTTCACTTAAACTTTAACTTTTATTATAACTTTGACGCTTTTTTAGTTAATGTTGTTTTACTTATGAGATTTACGTATTACTTTCCGAGTTATAAAAATATAAAATATAAAAATTTATTATTAAAAAAAAAAAATAAAATGGCGTTTTATCGCTTCACTGCGATAACACTTGTCTTTAATGAGTGAATAGGAGGAATAAGATGAATATTATTTCTTAAGTTTTTTTTTTTATTGGAAAAATGGTTCGAGTTAGTTTTTCAATTTTTTTGGTATATTTTGATTTTAGTTTAGAGTTTATTATTTCAAAAATTAAAAATAATACATATATTGGAAGGCTTGTATTTTAATGTGACAATAGTTTAAAATGTCGTTACAGGAAGCCCAATGTGGGTTAAAGTGAGATGGCATCCAGGGAAAAGAAACCCTTAGCGTCTTCAAAAAGTAAGCAGTCGAAGACTAACAATGATGCCAGTTTGTCATCCTCACCTAGCAGATCTAATAAAAATAGTAATAAAAATAAATCACTGCCATCGCAATTATTTGAAACGGTAACGCCAGATCGTAATAATAAATCAGCGATTGTATTGAGTTCAACGTTATACCGATTTCGGAGAGGACCGATATCGGTAAGAAAATCCACTGGATCTATCGATAGGCGTATATCTAGACTTAGAAGTGTGCCTTCATTGATTGATAATAAATCATCAATAACAACATCAACTACTACCACCACAGATAATATTGGATTGGATACATCGTTGTATCCTGGTAGGAGACCAAAAGTATCTGCGAGAAAATCTTGTGGAGCTACTGAAAATTATATATCTAGACTTAGAAGTGTGCCTTCATTGAATGATAATAAATCGTCGACAAATATTGTATTGAGTAATTTAAAACCCAAAGATAATAATAAAGAGCAGAGTATTGAAGTTGATGGTTCATTGATTGATAAAAATTCTGACAGCACTTCTTGTTCTTCTACGAGTTCGACAATTACGTCCCAGAGCAATAGTCCAAAGTCGAATAAAAAATTGAAAACAGTATCACCAGAGTCGCAATTAAAGAGTGCCAAAGTAACAAATAAATTATCAGAACGCAAGAAATCCGTAGGTAAAGAAAGCCTTGAGGATTTAAAGTACCTGAAGACTAGAAAATCAAGTCCTGCTGTCGTTACAACAGCCAGTGAAGTTAAAAATTCTGGAAAATTAAAAAATTCAATAGACTCAACCATTGACGAAGTTGTGGCAATGGTCAGTGATACTGAGATTGAGGAGTTAGCCCCGGTCGATCCGGATAATAAACTCGAGGGTAAAATTACGCGTAGTAAGAAAATGTTGATTGAAGAGTGTGATATTAAAAAAGAACTAGTAGAACCTGAGGAAGAGATTAAGTCTGATGACGAGGGCGCGGAAACTCTGTTAAAAGCTAACCAATCGTCGAGACGAAGAATGAGTCAACGTAGTCTGAGAAATGGTAAACTTAGACAGCTGGATTCCACGGAGGAGAAAAAAGCTCGTCGCCATGCGGACGATGAAACAGATAATGCCGATGACGAGCCGAACAATGTCGAGTCTGGACAGAGTGAAGCTACTGAGAATGAGAGAGATGCTGAGACCGAGAACAATAATAATAGTGAACAAGTTGATCGCAGTGTTGACGGAGAAGCTGGTGGGCCTAATTTAAGGTCTAAAGCTAAAGCAAAGAGTACTGATACGCCAATAACTGGTGAGGATATTTCAACGATTGATAGTAAGACGACTACAACTACAACAAATCCTGCTGAAGAACCAATTAGAAAATCATCGGGCTTCGATTTACTGAAAAAAGATAATTGTTTATTAGGAAAGATAACGATTGGTGATAAACAGTCGCTTAAAGCAAGACGCAGCAGCCTTAATATTGATGTTAAAAAAACAATGGGCCCATTATATGGAAGTGAAAAAATAGATGGTGTTAGCCCTCAATCGAAACTAGATAAAATGGTTGAAGATATTAAATTAAATATTGCTAAATCTATAGAAAGTAAAATTGGGAGTGACATTTTATCTCTTGATAAATCATTAGGAATTACCAAGAATTTTGATACTCCAAAGATTGAAGAAGTAGTTGCACCGTTTAATACAAGTATGCAGAAAATAGGTGTGCTTAATAAAATTACTAATGATGATGAAGAAACAAAAGCAGATGGATCGAAAATACAGATAGCGACTAATAGTAGTACTACTAATAATAGTAATAATAGTAATTCTGTACCCAAGGTAGCGGACACTGCCAAAGAGATTGAGAAGCTAGTCATGGGTGACAACATAGAGGATAATCAACACATTTCTGAATCTGCTGAGACATCTAAAAATAAAGATGCTAATGATGAAACTGCACTTATCAAAAGTGATAGTGCTAAAAAATCACATAATGAGCCTGATCAAAGTCAAAGCTCTTCCCAGTCTAGTGAAAGTTTGCTGATAACAGCAACAACTGAAGTTGTAGTAGAAGAAGTACAAGAAGCAGTAAAACGAGAAGATAAGGAAGAAGAAGATCAAAATCAAGAAAAAGAAAAAGAAAAAGAAAAAGAAAAGGAAGAAGAAGAAAAAGATACTGTGTGTAGTAATGATGAAAAAGTTTCTGGAGAAGAATTGAAGGAAGAAAAAATTACGGTAAAACCTTGTGAGTCAATGACTAAAGAGACTGAAGAAGAAACACTAGAAACTATTTCAATGGAAGTTGAAAGGCTTGTTACTGAGCCCTTGCCAAGTAATTTGAACGATACTCAGAGTAATGAGAGTGAGGAAGATAAAAATTTGGAGATGGATGTTGAGTTGCCGGAAAATATTGTCGAGGCTGCAGAAAATAATGAGCAAGTTGTGAAAATACAGGATGTTGTGAAAAGTAACGATCAAACAAATTTAGACAGTGAAGTAATCGAAAATGTCAGTCTTGAAGAAAGTACGATGGAAATAGTAGAAGAATCTGTTGTTAATGAAGAAGAAATTGAAGATGATATTAAATTAACAACGGAAATTGACGACAATGATTATGAACTCATAGAAAAGGTTGGCGATCAAGTTACTGAGGTTAAACAAGAAGTAAAGAATGAAGAAAAGCAAAAATCCGTCTCCCCAGAACCAAGCTTGATTTCTCAAGAAGAAAATACGAACAAAACTTCGGAAAAAGCAGTAGCATCAGCAATTGGAATTGAAGTCAAATCACGAGAAGAAAAGTCTAGTGATATCAATAAATCCGGTGTTGAAGAAGGTAGGCGTGTTCTGAGGGCAAGGGATAAATTGAGGAAATCTGAGAAAGCTTTGAAAGCTGCGGAAGCCAGTGGCGAGGCTAAATCGGATGATTTGAAAATAAATAAAGCTAGTACAAATGAGACAGGTGAATCGACTGGAATGAAATCGAAAGACGAAACCGAGACTGCGGTTGTTGTGAAGATTGAGGAACCAGAACCGATAACTCGTGGTAGACGAAGTCGAGAGGTCAAAAAACGAAAGGAGCTTGAAACATCACCCCAGAGCTTGAAGAGCAAGCGAAGTCGACGGGATAATAAAAAATTAGAACAACAAAAAGAAGAAACTTTATTGGACAACGAAGTCGCAACTATAAATGAAAATAAACGATCGTTGTCTGTTGATAAATTGTCGAAAAGAATAGAAGGTACTAAAAGCTTACGTGTTTTCTCGCCGTCTGAAAGTGCACGTGATAAGAATAACGACAATCGCAGTAAATCTGAAAACGATATTGAGACTTCTAAAGTCGGTAAAACTGAAAGATTATCAAGAGGCAGATGTGATAGTATTAAGCCAAAAGAATCCTCAGTAAATCCAGCCGGTGAACAAATTGAAATAAAAGAAGCTAATCCGAGAACTGATGATGATGATGTTACAAAGAAAGAATCTAGTAGCGAAGATGCAGCGGTACCTGTTATTGCCGTAACAGAAGTATCTGACAATGAATCTAAAGCTACCAAAATTCAAGCGGAAAACGTTTTGAAGGACTCCGATGAAGCTTCAACTTCCGGTGAATCGACAAGTAGTGTTTCGTTTAAAATTTTAGAAACCCCCGAAGAAAAGGTGAGAAAAGAATCAATTCTACGTATGCTGGGTTTAGAGTCGATGGAAAAAGCTGCTGAACGATTGGAAAAAGCCAAGCGTGAGCAGTACACTGGCACATTGAAAACTATCATTAGAGTCAGCAAGGACAAGGATAAGGACAAGAAGCAGTCGAGGTCTCCCTTGAAAATGGTACTCAAACAAGGACGCAACGACGGAGACGGAGGAGATACATCGGAGTTTTACACCATTCAGAAGGAGGTGAGAATTTATTAAAAATTTATTATTTTTAATTTATCATTTGGTGTTTAATTACGAGAGTTAATGATAATAATGATTTTTTTCTTTTTATTCCAGCTGGGAACCAGTGGTTTGGGCGATAGCAGCTCTGGTGCGAACCGAAAGCTCTCTACTAACCACAGACAATCTTGCGGTAATCCTGGTTGCGGGCATAACTATATTATTAATCATACCTTCCTTTTATTCACTTCACCTTTAATTAAAAAAATATTCGATGAAACAACAAAAAAAAATTTTAATCCACATTTAAAAAAAATTGCTTCTACTAATTTTAAATATGCATGTAAAAATAATTTATTCTTTTCACTATTTAATTTTTAATTCTATTTATTCAAATAACTAAATTATCTTTCAATATTAATAATAATTATTATTATTTTTTGTTGAAGAAACAAAATTTTAATGTAAAATGATGATTGCAGATGAAGAACACGAGGATATATCAGTTAAAACTCGACCACGTTTAATAATACCGGAGAAATACTCGTCATTTTCAATTCACCCAGGAAGACCGTGTGCTGATGTTTGTTGTTATTGCTTTGGAAAATTTGGTTCTCTAGATACGCCGATGCATTTAGCACAATTAAAATCTGATGAACGCCGAGAAAAAATTTTATCCGCTGAGGGCCATCTTACTACAGACTCGTGTCTTTGTGACGCATGTTATCGGCATGTTGACAGAAAAGTAAGAATTTTTTATTGCTTACATTTTAATTTTACTGTCGGTATTATTTTTTTTATCGATAATTTAGCAGTCACTATTTTTAATGATTGTCAATTTTGACTTATCCTGTGAAGAAGCTAAAGATCTCCTAAAGACCACTATTCTGGTTGTTTATATATATTTTTAATAATAATTTTTTATAGGCAAACATGAGTCCAACCAATACAAGCTCAAAACCCCAACGAGTACATCGTCAGCTGCTGGTTTCAAAATGTAACGTAAAAGATTGTCGGAATCCAGCTAGACACACTGTTAAACGTCGTTGGATCCAAAAGATAAAGCCAAGTATACAAAATCAGGTAATGAATTTATTAATTAACATTTTTGCCATAGTAATAATATTAACTAATAACCTAAAAATAAATAATCTTGATATAACGAATGATAATTTAATTACAGATGAAAATTGACGTCACAGTGGAACCAAATCAACATTCATCAATGTACTTTTGTGTTGACCATTACGCGTTGATAGAGAAATTTTTAATATGTGCTTTGTGTACTCGTCGCTTGACCAGAAATCAAGCTTATGTCGTAACTCCATCGGAAACAAATGAGTTGAATCGCTTACTCGAACAACAAAGAGTACCAGTATTAGTGACATCCGGTACTTTTCTTTGCAAGCTCTGTCGATATTTCGTAAATATGCACTTTAAGTTTAAGGACGTTGAAAGTATGAAAGCAAACAATAAAGCGTATTGCAAGAGTTATCGGAAACGTCTGTTAGAAATCCATAATATAGATGTAACAGAAGACGAAGACGACGAGTTGCCACAGCAAGGTCTCTCTATGAAAGACAAGCGTAAAAAATCCAAAAACAGTTTAAATAAAAGTGGTAGTAGTGTTGGTAGTGGAGGTGGCGGTAACAGTGCTAGTGGGACTGGCGGTCCATCGAAGTTTTCAGTAGATAATTCGGATAAATCGACATCTGAAAAATCAACACCTGAACCCGTCAAATCAAATCCACCTGCAACATCACAAATAGATGATACTGTTAATCGAGATTCGGATGAACAACATCCTAAGGCTAGTGTTACTGACGATGACACAACGACTGAAACCCAAATTCTTGATTTAGAGAGCGCCGTTGAAAAACTGAAGAAACGTAAAGCGTTAGATCAACATTTATATTCAACAACATCACCAGTATTTAATAATCATAATAATAACAGTAATAATAATAATAATAATAGTAGTAGTAGTAATAACAATAATACTAATAATAATAATAATAATAATAATAATAATAATAATAATAATAATAACAATAATAATGACAATAGCAATGATGTTGTTGAAATACTAGCGATGGACAAAGAAGTTACCTTAACGCGATTGCCAAAGCGACCAAAACTTAATAATGATATAACTCCGGTTGTTCAAAGACTCGGTGCAAATCCATCAATAAGTGTAAGAACATTGTTCCCTGGTGAAGAGGAAATGGGTTTACATGCAAATGTTGAATTTTCAAATGTACGTGAGGTAACACCGCAAGGGTGGGAGAAATGTGCTACCATTATACAGTATGATCGTGATACAAAGCTTCTTTGGCAAGAGCTTCAAAGGCCATACGGGAATCAAAGCTCGTTTCTACGTCACTTGATACTACTAGAGAAATATTATCGTTCTGGTGATCTCGTACTTGCACCAAATGCTTCACGTAATGCCATTAATTATTCAACATCTGTGCAAAATCGTTTGATATCATACGAGGGCCCGGAAAAAGTTGATGAGCCGATAACAGATCCGTTGCCAAATGAATTTAGTAATTCACGGCGTTTGAGTGGTGGTTATTTATTGGAGAGAGACAGACTAGCTACTAGTACTCCCAGTACGAGTTCTTTGATAACTACACCTCCGATAACTACTGCAACGCCTGATAAGTTAAGTTTAAGTCAATTATTACAGCAACAGCAGCAGCAAAAGCAACAAACACAATCATCACAGCAGCTCAATACCAAATCAAATCCACCGAGAATTTTTAAAATAAATACTGGTGTCTCCATTATTAAAAAGCCTCCTCCGAGTCTTCAGCGACTGAATTTACCCTCGAGTAGTGGTAGCAACAGTAGTAATAGCAATATTATGACCAATTCTACTGCTAATGGTAGTGCCAAACGTAAAGACGGATTTCCAAATAAAATAACTGGGAGTACATCGGGTGGAAAAGTTATTCATATGAGCGAGCCAGATTTTAAGCGGTTGCAATCGTTAAAGAAACAAAAAATGTTAAGTGAAAAAATTACTACAACTTCATTTCCTTCGGCGACTTCAACATCCACGTCAACGTCTTTAGCATCATTAACTAATTCTCTGGCTGTGACGAATGTTAATGCGACAAATGTACAGCAGCTAAAATCAGCACAAACAGTAGCGCGACAAAATTTTCAATTTCACGAGCATATAAGAATGCAGCAAGAAATGTTGAATCGACAAAGTCGTGGTGACTTTGAGCCACTTATTTGCGACGTTCGATCACTTATTAATGAGAATACACCCACGCAAAATCTAATAAACAATTTAAATTTACCAAAATCGATACAAGTTACAACAAAGCCACCTAGTAATAATCCGATACCAATATTACCAAAAATACCTAAATCATTGACAGTAATACCGCAAACAATTCATCGTACTGTTGACAAGTGACACAAAAATATTATTGTTATTGATCGGAATAGTCATAATATTAAAGATAATAATAATAATAATAATAACAATAATAAGAGACGTTTTAAAGTAAAACATAAAATTAAATGACTAAAAGTTTAAGTTTTTTATTCTTTTAGTAAATAATAATTATAATTATCATTATTATTATTATTATGACAAAAATAATTATGACAAATATAATTGCATCGATAATAATACGGGAATTGTTATTATCGATGTAAATGTTAAATAGACAAGCAAAAAATAATAAATTGGTGATGAAAACGATGATTAAACTTTTAAAGATATGTAAGTAAACGTAATTATGTTTTTGGGTATAAAATTTTAATTCATTATGTGCTGAGTACACATTTAAGATATTATAATAAATATATTTAAAAGAAAAAGAAATATTTAATTTTGTATTTAAAAATAAAATGTTAATGCACGTACACATTTAACAACATGTGACCAAGAGATAAAGACGTAATTGATAATTATCTAAAAAACGACTGAGAAAATAATGCGGCGTTAAAATATATTAATTAAAAATTATATTAAATAAATGATTTATATTTGACGTTTCAATCAATTCAATACAAAAAGTGCCTAATTGTCACAATATATATATATATATATATATATATTTGAATTTAAAAAAAAATTAAGTGAGAAAAAATGATTTTTTTTTTATTGTAGTTAATATTATTATTATTATTTTTATTTTTATTATTGAAAAAAATCAATAGTTGAAATATAAAAAATATAAAATTATATTATATATTTGTAGAATTTTTTTTAGTTTAGGAAATAAAAAATATTTTTTTCTCACTAAAAGATCTTTCATACGTTTAAAATTAACACGAATTATTTTTTGTTCTTATTATTTCGTAGCTTTGCATAATTATTTTCTAGATCGTATTTTTTTCGAATAAATATTATAAATTAATAATAATTTTAATAATTATTTATTAAGTAAATAGTTACTATTCTCTTGTTATACGTCTTTACGCAGGAAATAAATAATATTTGTGGTTATGGAAGCGAAAAATATGAAAATGAAAAAAAAATATACGTTTAGAATAATGCCGAATATTTTTAGAATATTTAGTTAAGACGCGTTGAGCTTATTTATTACGTTTATTTTACTTGTACTGTAAATAATTGATTTAATAAAAAAAAATAATGATTTTAGTAATTCAAATAAATTGATGATAAGATAATAATTATTATTGCCATTAAAACAATAATAATTATTATTAATAACAATAGATATATTGTCTTACTGGAGGAAAGCTATGTTATACTTTATAATGTTAATTCTTATCTTTCATATCGGATTGAAATCAACAAAATATATCAGAGAACGTAATGTTAGTAATATATAACACGTGTTACTATATATTAATTTACGTAAATACTGAAAAGGAAAAACCGACGTTAATAATATTTGTCGAATAATGCAATAAAAATAATTGCAACAATTATTGAAATATGCTAAACGGAATTTTTGACGGCTGTCTTGAAAGTGATAGTGTGGATGTAAATATTTTAGTTATTAAGATATTATAATAATAATAATAATAATAATAATAATAGTAATAAATTACTAAAATATATGGGACTGATAACGGAGAGAATTGTATTGAGTTACAATAAATTCAAAGTAATTTATAACTGCCTGTATTAAATACGAAAAGAATTTATTAATTGTATAAAGAAAATTTAACTTTTTTTTTATATTATATATTTTTAGTGAATACTAAAATATTTAAACTAATTGTAATTATTGAAAAATAAAAGCTCAACAAAGACAATTTTAACTCGCCAGTAAAAAAATAGTTTGTATGAATAATTAGTAACTTTCTCTCCGTTTTTCTGAAAGGAATTAAAGAAACAAGTTTAAATTCATCTCTAAAGAATGAAATAATGATGATTATCATCATCATCATAATGATTTAATAAGCTATGACATGTATTTCTGAAAAGAATTTTGAAGGTAAATTGTACTCGGAATGGAACAGAATATTTAAATATAAAAATGCTCTATTTTATTAAGGATATTTTTGATATATCTATTATAAATATTTAATTATATGTATATCGAATAAATTAGTGAGCATTGCTGTCGCTTCATAATCAGTTGTTGTTACGCTCAATTTCTTATGAGCTTTAGTGTGGCCTCAAAATAAATATTTTCTTTTACGATTATCGAAAGATTTAATGATAAAGATAATTACAGTAAATGATAATATTAAATGGTTTGTGATTGTGATTGTAATTATTTTTATACACTAAATTGCTGAAAAAAAAAAAAAAAAAAAATAAAATCAATGGCTACTATCAATTAAAACTAAAGTAAAATAATAATTATTATTATTAAAATTTTAACGGCGTTATATCATTGTGAGCACAATGAATTTAAGTTTTAAGAATTCTATTTTTCTTGTGGCAAAGGGTATAAATATTTGTGAAAAAGTTTAAAATTAGGGGTTAAATTATTGAAAAAAATTTTTATTTTAAATCACTATTTGAAAAAACTAAACTGTGTGAAAAATTAATCATTCAATATAAATGTATAATTATAATTTAACTTAATATAATTTATTGAACGGATCATGATATAGCGAAAACAAAAAATAGCTTGGCCTTGCGACAATTGAAAACGTTAAAAAAAAAAAAACAAACGTTTTATTGAGTGAATAATCGTGTCCATGAGATATTTAATGAGCAATAATTGTGAATATTACTTACGTTCTTGTACTAAACTCTATTTATTATTAATTTTTGTCGTATAATTATTATTGAACAAATAAAACTCGAATTAATGCATACAATTTTTTTCTTTTTTTTTTTTTAAATGCAACCAATTTTTCTTTGAAAGAAAATGAATCGCCACTCAATTATTGATAGTGGGATTGACAGTGATGCATATACTTGAATAAATTTAGTCCAGTGATTTTATAAAGTAATTAACAATAATGATGATAATAATAAAAACAAAACAAAAATATAAACTTTAATAAAACAATAACTTTGAAATAAAAAATTAAAAGTGATTACGTTACTTTATATAATCGTTGAGTTTATATTATATCTATTATTATAACAATAGTAATAATAATATTATGTTATTTAAATTAATATTAAATCATGTTATCACTATTATAATGCCTTTGTTTATTTAGTTATACAATGTAATAGTTATTTAGGTTCATCCTTTGTATATATTTTTACCTTATGCAATCATTTATCTCAGCTGCGATAGTAATTAATAAGTACTTATATAATTTGACTGGTTATGGATGTTAGGGTTGAATTGAAATAATCAGACGTGATAATTATTTTTTATTTATTTATTTAAAGTTTTTATATTTTTTTTCATTTTGTTTTTTAATAATTGGTAACTGATTTTGGATATCTAGTTATACTAAAAATCTAAACAATGTACGAAACTTTATACATAGCTAATTACTTTTTTATTTTTATCAATTATTATATTCTATTTGTTTTTGTGTTTGTTGTTGTTGCTTGTTTGTTTATTTGTTTGCTGTCGCTGTTGATTATAATAAGGAATTTTAACGGTAGCTATTTACAAATATATTTAGAATCACTCCAAAACGTTTCAGCAAACGTTAATCGATAGTGATCCGGGCACTCTACGGAAGATTAGATTTCTTAACAATTGTTATTTATTTTGACCCGCGCAATGTCTAGGATTTAATATTCAAAAATAATCAATAATAGTGTATTACGTTAAACGATAACCAAGCTGCTGGTAAACATGTAATATTTACACCGATTTATTTTTATTTATTAATTGTTCTGAGGCAAATCCAATAATCACATTTTATTATCAAAAACTACTATTTTTTTAATTTTTTTTTATCAAAACGATTACTTTTTTTTTATTACCGTCATTCAATACATAATTTTAGCGCCTCTTTGTAGAGTTATGTATATAGAGATTTTTTACACAGCCTGGCTATGCGTCGTTGTGCTAAATATGGCCCCAAATTTAAAACAAATAATAAATAACATTTTTGGTCATTATTGATAAAATAAAACTGTAAATTTCACAACAGTCTTGAGTAGATTTTTTTGTTTTTTTTTTTTTCTTCATTTCATATAAAACAATATAATGTATAAATCGAGATTTTGATGATACTGAAAGTATTGGACTTTCTTATTTAAAATAAATTATATATATATATATATAGAGTAAAAATTTGATATAATGTATGTAAAGAATTTTTATAAATTTTCGTGTGCATATTTTTGTGTAATATCATTGGCCTAATATTAAAATTTTAATAAATTTCATGCCATAAATTAAAATTGAAATAACATAATTTTTTTTTTAATTAAAAAATTTTAATACAGGCCATCGATCCATAATTTATTTTTAAAAACCAATAAATTGGTATTTTCAGATGTCTGCTATTTTCAGTATCAAAAATTTTCACATAAGCCTTACAATAATTTCATAAAACATTTATCAATAATTTTTTTTACAATTTGTTGATCCGTAGAGTCTGAATAAATTTACGCGGGGAAGCTAAAGTACAATTTTAAAAATTCTACTAACTACAAGTTTTTGTGTCTGTCCACTGTCACTCTTTACATACTTTATTTCATTTTAAAAATAATGGAACCGTTTATTACAAATAACAAAGAAAAAATTAATCATAATAATAATAATGATTAATAAAAACGAACAAAAATAATAGAAGAAATTAACTAAGGCCCAGTCGCAGTAATACGACCCCGATAAATCTTTATTAATTTGAATATGTCATTTTCGATCGGTATACACCCTTTTTGGTGTAGTTGTATCTACTCTTGACTATTCTTCATTATTATTATAATTATTATTATTAATATTATTATTGTTATTATAATTATAATTATTATATCATTTATTTATCTCAATAATTCTTATATACATGTGCGTTGTCTCAGCGACAGTAACTTTCCAGTGAAAAAAAAAGTTTTTACTTTTTTATAATTATAATATTTTTTTTATTTAATTTATTGCAGTGGAAATTTAAACTGTGATCTGCGAGACATACGCGCTTAAAATATTCTATAATATATACAAACGTTGTGTATACAAATTTTAATAATCATATTAATATGCATATATATATATATATATATATATTTATAAATTTTTGTTTAAATTTAAAAATGCATACATACACATTAAATATTTATAATAAAAGATTCGTAACGGTTGACGCCTCATCCGCTCATCAATCAACACTTAGCTCGCCAATAAAATTTCACTTTGGAGGAATTTAAAGTTCTGTAGTTTTAATTGATGGCTCAAAAACTGAATAAAAACCAACAAACAATAGTTTTGTTGTTTAACTAAAAATAATAGTCACATTGTTTGGTTATTTTATTCTTAAAACTGGCGGTTGAATGGCTGCCGAAGTATTTACGAATTTAACTAGACGGATTGCAGCTGCGGACGGTCGCGAAAAACGACGTTTAGTATCCGTGTGATCTAATCCGATTAAGGCAGTCTCCTCCACTTGGACGATTTACCGACTTCTTATACATCACCAGACAAATAGACAATAATCAGGATATTAATATTGTATAATAAACTTTAACATTCACCGTAACAACAGTAGTGTCTTTATGTTTATTTAATATTCTTGTTATTGGTATCCAGTCTCGATGCAAGTGGGACAGTCTCTAAACGCCAGAGTATTGTTTCACCCGACGCAATTTTTAAATTTATTTATTTATTCATTTTATTAATTATTTAAATTTATGTTTATAAAAAATCTGATATTATTAGCGGCGCATGGGCACCTCCGATGTGTCATCAGACTTAAATTTGGTCTAGGTCTCAAGACCGGGCACAAGACTGTGGAAGGTCTGGATGTCATGAAAGGCTCTCCCGCAACTCTGGTTGTTATTTCTCTCGAATTTGGTGAGGTCAAAGTGCTCGTCAAGGGAGTGAAACTCCACTAGCCGCTCCTCTAGAGTTTTTGAGTCGGAGAATCTGGAGAAGTCGCAAATTCTGTCGGTGTCGCCCCCGACGTCCGTCACGTCCATTAAGCTTATAGAGTCTGTGGATCGACCGATTGACGACAGCGACGTGTCGACAATGTCCGCCGAGAAGAGATTGGTAGATGTCGTCGAACGCTCGCTCGTTGATCCCAGCCGATTATCATGCTGGTGATAACTCGCCAAGGAGTTATCCGACTGTTGATCCGGCAGGTCGTCTATGTGGGACAGCAGGCGCGGAGTGGGTGGCAGTATGTAAAAGTCGCTGAACACTTCGTCTTGCAAGTCCAAATCGTCATGCCTTTGTCGCTTTGGACTTAAACCCTCGCTTCCGCGTAATTCTTCACCCAGTCTGAAAAGTTATTGTTTTTATTAGTTTATTTAGTTTTATCTAACATTTATTTATCGATAATTAATTTTTATAGATAATTAGTAGTAGTAGTAGTAGTATTTATTTTCAGATGTACAGTTTTTTTAAAAACTGTAATACATTCCCTTCCCCTTTCGACATAAATAATTAATATCGAATTTAAAATATCAAGTAATTAAATAATTATTTAATATTATTTGATATTTATGCTCAGTTTTTATGTTTCAATTTATAATCGTAATTTATTATTTTATGGATAAAATCAACTGTCGTTAAATAAATAAACTAAAGAAGTTCATGTACTGCGCATGTGTCAAATTAAGTTAAATATACTAAATTCAATAAATTAAAATAAAGTAATATTGTAATATTTGAAAATATTTACGATCATTTTATTTAAAAATAAGTGATTAATTTTTTAATTTTTTATTTATGTTATTATTTTAAAAATATTTCATCAAAATTCGTACACTGACAAAAAAATTAACTTGATTCAGGAGGAAAATTCTTGAACCAAGAAAATAACTTTGAAGAGGGTAATTGTCTTGAATCAAGACAAAAAATTCTTGAATCAATTAAAATTTACTTAAACCAAGTAAAAATTTCTTAGTTTAAGAATTTTTTTACTCAAATCAAGAAGATGGAGTTCTTCACAATTATATACACTTGATTCAAGAATATTTTTTTTCTGTGTAAGAGTTTTAACAATTTATGATAAAAAATATATTTATTTTACGATTTAATTTCTAAACACTTGTATTAGATTAAAAATAAAAATCAAATCCCAGAAAAAAATATGATAGAAAAAGCAATTTTAGTTATAATCCTTTCATTTAATATCCTTTCATTTATATTTAAAAAGTTTTTGTAGGAAACTCAAAATATACTGATAAAAAAAATTAACTTGATTCAAGAAAAAAAAAAATCTTGAATCAAGCAGAAAAATTTTTGAATCAAGTAAAATTTACTTAAACCACGATTAATATTTAAATTAATAAACATTTATGATTATGTTTGTACTTTTAAGAAATGGCATAAAATTATCTACAAAAATCATTATTATTATTATTATTATTATTATTGTAGAGAAAATTACCTCTTTTTGGAGGATTCAGAATCGCCAACAATAAGATTAACACTAACATCATTTTCCTTGGACGAATCATCAAGATAACTAGATAATGGTAGCCCATAATTTCTCGTGTTCTCACGTTGTAGTCGTTTTACGGCGTTGTTTATTAATACAGATTTACATAGACTAGCTTCTGGATCTTCGATACTGCGGAGTTTAGAGGCTGATATTTTAAGCAAACGTCTACGCTCTTCTCTGGCACGATACTTTGCGGATATCATGGTCGGTCGACTCCTGCGGATTACCAGGTCTTCCTCTAGTCTCATCTTAGCGTCTGTAAACAAAAAATATCATTTATTCAGTATATCTTCATACTCAAGTCATCACATATTTTCATTATTATTATTATTATTATTATTATTATTTATAATAAATTTTGTTTTTTAGCAAAAAGTAAACAGTAGAGTTACTAGTGGTTATCAGGCATTAAGAGATTTTTCAAATAACGGTAAAACGGATAGTAACGTAATGCTCGTTGTCAAGTTAGCGGTACGTATATACATATATATAACGCTCGATCACGAGAGAGCGACGACTTGACACTCTAGTGTTCTGGACAGAGAGAGATAGAGGGAAAGAGAGAACTATTGAGCAGAGAAGAGATATAGGTAAGCACTGTACTGAGTGTACTATACGAGGGGATTTTCCTCAATACACCTTTAACATTGATGTTGTTGTATATCTTGCGGTTGTGACCCACATATACACTTCTATATGCAATATAAATACATAAAATTCAATCTATATCTACATATTATGCATATATGTGTGTGTTACATTATGAATTCCGTAGATATGAAAAGAAGAAATATGTATCAAAAGATTTCTGATTTGTTTTCTTCTTTATTCATTACTTTTATTCATTTTCTCTAGTAAGAGCCAGAGATGGGAAGAGTATTTTATTTGTTCTTACTGAGTTTGGTCTTGGCTGGTATGCTATGGTCTAGTCGCGGTATCTTTTATTTTAAATAATTTCACATTGTAACTTTTATGCAGTATAGCAGTATAATGCTTGCTCTGACTCCACCACCATCTCTATTTTTATTTCTTCTTACACTGGGAGCTGGAATTTATTCTACTGTAATGTACTGGCTGCGTTAAACTATCTCGTAAGTAGTGCAGACGTCAAGAAAAATCTTGAATTCAAGGGACCAGTAATGATAATAATAAAAGTCGAAAAAGTTTTAAGTAAGTACATATTTATAGAGCGAGTTGTTCAGGAAGCTCTGAAGTGACGAAGGACGCAGTGCTCTCGTTTAAATATTTCCAGAGAAGAGTCGAGATGAAGTGATAAACTTGGAGTGAAATGTTTTTATTTTGTATTTTATATTATAGAGATTTGTTGGATGTAATAGAAGATTTAAGAGATCACGAATTTTTAGAGTAATTATTTTAAATGACAAATATTACTTTCTAAGTTTGCGTAGCAACGTCGCTTCTGAAGAAAATTGTTATGTTTTTATGTCAAAAGAAGAAATTAATTGTTTTTTTTTTTCGTTAAAATTAATTAAAATTGTCAAATTAAAAATAATATTTTCATAAATTTAATTTTTTACAATATTTAAAAAAGAAGAAAATAATTAATTAACAACTCGAATAAATTAATTGATCAGTTAATGAATTATGAATTTTCACGATTATTATTAGCATTTAATACTTTTTAGTTTTATATTTACTCACAAGTTCCGGCACCGAACGTTAGATAGCGCGCGAAAGCGGTTTTATAATCCATAGCAACAACGTAAACTGCAGTTTAATATAATGTAATGTACTATACTAATATACCAACAACAATACCAGATACATATAAGAGACACTTGCTGAAGAAAGATAGAAAAATATCTAGATGTTACAGGTTAAATGAATCTAAAATGACACTTGTTACTAAAATTATTACCCGTTTATTAATATCAGTAACTTGCAACTGTTAATACAACGTTTAATCTCAGGTGAGTAATTAATATAATTATAGATAACAAATAAATTGATAAAAAATTATCGATTTATATTAAATATTCCAATGTAATAATTATTGATTCTTCAACACGATAGATTCTACTCGACTGGTCATTTCAAGGCAATTGCAGTACTACAGAAAGAGAAGGGAATTGAAGATAGCGGACATATAAACGAACAAACTTTCTCTGTGGGGGAAGGGCATTTAAAAAATATAAATGTTTAAATAAAAATAAAAATAATGAATATCTTTAAAATCGTACGTTCCACGGAGCTTTGTTACCTAACAGTGATCTGATCGCGTGAAGTTGCTGACATGATAGAGAAAAATTATCTCATCATCTTTTATTTTTCAACATTCCATTTAATATCTGGTAAGTACTTACATATAGTAAGTTTATAATTATAATAGTTGATAAATATTTATTTAAATTATAATTCAATGCTCAATTTTAATTTTGTTTTTTTTTTTTTTTAGATTCTAACCCTGGTCTTCTAATCAGTCATGTGACTTAAAACACTGACATTTGACATCTGAGATCTGATTAATTAAAGTGATCAATTAATGAATTTAATTTTGTGTGTTTAGTAAAATTTAGAAGAAAATATATATAATAAAAAAATTAACAATACAGATGGTAATTCGAAGAAATAATAATTATGATAACTGGTATTGCATTAGTAGAAATAGAAAGTGTTGACTCAATACAAGAGTACACAGATATAGAAATAAGATGTACAGACGGAGACGTTAGACGGAATTGCACAGATACAAGTCAACGAAATAACTAAATGAATTTAAACGTGTTATAAATAGAATGGTGAGTTGTCGAGAATAGCGCATCGTGATACTTTAAATACATCATACTCATAAGTTGATACAATATTAAGATACAATTGTTTTAGATATTATCTTTAAATACTTAAATATTGTTCACAATTATAAATACATAAATCAACTATTTTTATATTGTAAATAAGATTTTCTATTGTTAACTTTATTTAACAAAATGCTGATAATTGTAAAGGGGTTTTTGCCTTCTTTGATTGTCCTCAACGGAATTGCCCACGGCAAGGACATTCACTGCAAGGTCATGTATATATTTATATATGTGCGTGTGAGTGTGGAAGTTTAAAATTAATATATTTTTTTTTCTTTCATTTATTTATTAGTATATTGGATTAATGTTAAGTACAGTAAAAAAATATTTATTATTAATGGCATTTTTTCACGTAAGGGGATTAATGATAATTAACTAATTAATTTGTTTGTTTTGATATTAATAAATATTGAGATTGTTCGACATTATGTTTTGACGTCACGCGACTTGCGTCATGTACTGAATAGCTTTTTTTTTTTTATTTATTACTATTGTCTTTTTTAATAATGAGTTTGGATGTAAATTTTGAATTAAGTAAGTAATAGTAATTAATTTAGTTGGGTTTTGGTGTGTGTTACGTTTATTGTGTTTGTATTGATACTTATGATTTACAATAATGTAGATAGTAAAGATTAGTATTATATGTGATGTATAGTGAACATTAATTAGTTAAGATAGTACTATATATTTAGTGAGAGAAGAAAAAAGATACGCTTTAAAGGACTTGATTTCATGTGGGACACGATACCGTAAGCTTTACTTGAGGCCCGTTATAATATTTTTGCTGTCGTATTTTTCATGTACTTATTATTTTCTTTTGTGGTATTAGTCATTGGAAAATTTTTTGTTAATGACTGTTACCGTCATACCGTCCGCGGAATAATTTAAATAGGTGGTAGAGTAAGTTCAATGAAAATTTAAAGCATGCGTTTGAGTTATCGGGAAATTCTCGAGTTGGATGTACGTGTGAGTAAATATTGATCTGTAATAATTTGATTTGAGAAGCAATAGACTGTAATTATTTGTCATAAAATATTGATAATTTCAAGTAATAAATTTATTTTTATAAAATTGGTATTCAACGAATTACCAAAAATTAAATAACAAGTATGATCATTAAAAAATTATAAATTATTAAAAAAAATATTAATACAACAGTTGTTAAATATTAAACTTTAAATTATTTATACAATTGAAATTATTTCTTTAATATGTCAATTATATAAAGCTAAAACCGTTAAGAGTTACAAAAAATGTTTCCGCGTTATAATAATATAATTACAGTTTAATAAAACATTTACTTGCGTTGTAAGTTCTATCTACTTCACATGTTACTTATGAGTTATGAGTAAGTAATTTATTATTCAACGTACAATTTTTTATTTAAAAAAAAAAAAAAAAATTAAAATTAATAACTTATTTTTTTAGTGAGTTTGTTATGTAAATTTTTATGTAAGAGTAAATGAATTTGTTGGTAAAAAATAAACTAAGGGTATCAGTTACTAAACATTATATTGATTGATTGGTTTTAAAAACATCAAGAGAGCAGTAGATAGAGACTTTAATAAAGGATAGTTCTTTGGCACTTGGTTTATGATGTCCACAGTAGTTAAATAGGCCGTGACCATTCAGGCGACTTTCTCCAAGTTAACTAAAGACTTGCAATCATATCAGTTATATTATATTTCTTTTTATTTTACTAAACTTTTAAATCCATCATACATATCCGCCATAATTATAATAGATATAAACTGCATATACGCTAAACCTAAAAATAATCAATCACAAAGATTCAACGCTACAGATTGATAATTAATTCATTGTCAAGTAAAATGAATCATCTTAATTGAACAGAAGAAAAATAAATTTCATTTAGCAATTAGTTGTAATAAAAAATGTGAAGCAAACGCGATAACCTTAATCGATGAGCAAACGAAACTGAAAATTATAATATTAAAAAAAAAAAAAAAAAAACAACTTTAACTATAAAATTCAAGTGTAAAAATTATGTCGGCAAATAATTTTAAAGCTCTCCAGGCTAATAGAGTCAACTGGTCGGAAACGCTTGATGAGAAATTTATACCTGAGTGGAAGCGAGAGCGGTAAAGAACGAGAGGGGAATTACAAAATAAAAGAAATGAGAGAGGGGTTTAGGTGAGCGCAGGTGCGAGGTTGGTTCGCGCGCACGTGCAATGCCAGATACCCACCTATATCTGACTCTCTGCACGTTTGTTCTCTCTACTGGCTCATACGGGTTCAAACGACACGACATCTATCTATTTTTCTAAAAAAACAACAACAATAACAAACTAAGATTTATTTTATTAATTATATTTCACTTATCATTATAACCATTATATTAATGTTATTATTATAATAAATTAAGAATAATAATAATAATCATCATCAACAACTGATACCACAACTAGTAAATAATTAACTGAATAAAATTGATAATGATAATGATGATTTTATAATTAAAAAAATATAAATAATAATGTTTATAAAAAATTTGGTCATGGCTCACTTGCGCGCGCGCCCGCCCGCCATAAAGCCACATCAATACACAGCAATCATGTTAAGAGCAGATGTTATCCCTTCCCAATATGTCTACTCGTGCGGTTCTCTTCACTTCGTTTTTCGAATATAAGCGTGCGCCCAACTTTATTCGCGGTGGGGGTGGGCTTACCCAACTAAAGGCCGTCGTATTGGCTTGAGTCGCGATTCTTCGGTAATATTTAGCGTCCACCGTCTGTTATGTTCTCCGCAAGACAGACTATCACCTAACCGGCTGATCAGCTCAGCTACTGAACGCATCATAACGCCGTAGTATAATTTAAAAAAATAATTTTTATTTAATAGTAATCATAATCAATTATTCATCATTATATTATGAAAATGAAGTTAGTCGACATTTCAGAATTTTTAGAAATTTTTTATTGAAAAAATTTCAATTAAACAATTAAAAAAAAAAAAATTTGACATGTAAAAAACTTAAAAAACTATAACTGCAATTTTTTAGAAATGTCTTTTTAGTTGTAATTTAATTAATAAAAAAAATCAAAAATTTTTAGACGTCTGCTAACTTCAGTGTCATATTATATCAGATACTAGATACTAAATAGAAGAAATAATGAAGATCTAGTTCTAGACTACAGTCTAGGTGTTATTGAATAGAGGTGGGATTAGAATAAAAATGATAATATAAATAAATAAATAGATGTAAAGTAATTTGAAGGAGGTCATGGGAATATTGGAAAGAAGAAAACCGGTCGATTGTGATTCGCTGGTAGGTCTCTCTGATGGTAGAGTAGCAGTAGAGTAAAACCGAGCAGAGGTAGAGGGATAAAGAAAGAAAGGGATAGATGGATACTTGGATATGCCTTTGTCTACCGCCACCTGTCCACGCCATACTGCTCGCACTGTCGAATGCATTAATTTCACATCCCCTCTAGGAGCACCATGTTACGTTTATGCTTGTATAATACAATTCCTAAAGGGGGAGAAAGATTTATTTTGGCATATTCACATATTTCCGGATACGATTTGTATTTAATTAATAGTAAAAGTATACCAGACACCGTAGCTTCACTTAACTTTACTGATTATATGAAGAAAAAAGGTGATATTGATATTATTATATTATATTAATTAAGCGGTGATATGACCGGCATGCACCGCACTGAGATATCTGTCTATTTTTACGACAAGATTCAGCATTCAAAGAGAGACAGAGAGAGATGATGTGTGAGATCAGAGCTAATTTAGTACCAAGGGTGTTTGCTTTTTTGTAGCAGGCAGTTTGGCAATTTGTTTTTAAGGTGTTTTGCTGGTACTTATGTACTTAAACAGGGAGTTTGTTTGTTTTATAATAATATTTATTTCCTGACGCTCGGTTTAGCTG